CATGTATTTCTTCCAGAATATCATTCCGCAGGTTACCCACGTGAGGTACAACAATCTCATTCTTACGCCACCAGAGCTCGTGCTCCCACTTGAGTTCCTTCGTGTTTCGTGGATTGTGAAACCAGGGGTCAATCTGATACCCTGTGCGGATGCGTTTCAGAAAACCACTGAAGGTAATCTCACTCACTCGAGCCGTTGCTAGGACAATGAAGCAAGCAGAAAATACTGCCGCATCTTCTGTGTCGTCTAGCCATGTTGCTGCCCCTATCGGCTGTCTGCTGAGGGGGTCAGCCAGGTTCGTCGAACCTGCTCGATATCGAATATCGAAGGTGAACCCACTAAGGAGTTCCGCCCATCGGGCTTGACGTCGAGTAAGCGTGGCTTGGGTGGCGAAATAGGTGTTTGGACAGTGATCAGTCGTAACCACAAAGTCCACACCCTCCAGATAACATCGCCATGTGCGTAGCGCATGAACGACCGCCAACAGTTCTTGTTCGGACGTCGTATAGCGCTGCTCTGCCGGGGAGAGCTTTCGACTCTCAAATGCCACTGGTCTCCCTTCTTGCAAGAGGACCGCCCCAATCCCAATCAATGAGGCGTCAGTAACAGCCTCATAGGGCTTTGTCGGATCTGGTAAAACCAGTACCGGAGCATTGGTCAGCATTCGCTTGACCTCGTCGAATGCCTTTTGGCATTGTTGTGTCCATTGCCAAGCACTACTCTTGCGAGTGAGGGCCGTCAATGGAGCAACAACGGTAGAATAATTCTGCAAAAATCGACGAAAATAGTTCGCCAGTCCTAAAAACGACCTGATTTGACCCACATCTTGTGGCACCGGCCAGTTTTGGACTGCGGCAACTTTCTTTGGGTCTACTTTGAGACCATCATTTCCCACGAGATGGCCAAGATATTCCAACTCGCGTTTGTAGAAATGACATTTCCATAGGCGAGCATAGAACTTATGCTCTCGGAGTTTCCCTAACACCCATTTAAGGTGTCGCGTGTGCTCCTCTTCTGTCTTGGAATAAACCAAGATGTCATCCAGATAGACTAGAACGAACTGTCCAATCGCCTCGCGAAAGACATCATTCATAGCTCTTTGAAAAGATGCAGGAGCATTGGTCAAGCCAAAGCTCAGCACTCGCCACTGAAAATGACCAAACGGCGATCGGAAAGTCGTCTTGGGTACATCTTCTTCAGTGATGCGCAATTGGTGATACCCTTGTGCGAGGTCCAATGCGCTGAACCACTGGGCACCCTGGAGTTTGTCGAACAGGTCCTCTATTCTCGGTAGGGGATACATGTTCTTCACCGTTATCTTGTTCAGAGCACGGTAGTCTACGCACATGCGTAAACCTCCGCCCTTTTTGTTCACAAACAAGATCGGCGCTCCGTAAGGTGATGCGTTTGGTTCAATCCATCCCTTCCTGAGGTACTCCTCAATTTGTTGTTTAGCCTCCTCGTACTCAGCTGGACTGAGGCGATACAGAGGTCTAAACAGTGGGAGCTTTCCAGGCTCCACTGGGATGGTGTGACCGACAGCACGGTCTGGAGGAAGGCCATCTGGGATGGGCTTAAAAACCTCTGCAAACTCGTCCGCCAGTGCTCTCATCTGAGGCGGGAAATCCTCGACCCCAGGCATCTCGTGTTCAGCATTCTCAAGCTGTACCACAAAGAAGGTATCGGCTTGTCGAACATGCTGTCCGAACTCGTTTGCGAGCGCAAAACTCACATAGGGACGCTCCGACGTTTGTTGTTCGTTTGTGATCAAGTCGTTAGGCACTTGCCATAGGACTGTGTCACCATTCTTTGAGAATGAGACAGTATTGTCCTAGAAATCGAGCTTGACTTCATTCGCTCGAAGCCAATCCATTCCAAGGACAAGGTCGACGCCTGCGAGAAGGGGTAAAACATACGCGCAAATTTCTTCGTGATAACCCTCAATATCCATGTTGATCCGTGTCTGCCCTTTGCTTGGGATAATGCTATCATCACCAAGGCAAATGGGGCAAGACGGTCCTTCAACGAGGATCGTGTGTGCTGTGGCCCACTTTTCGTCAAAGAGGGAAACAGTTGCACCCGTGTCAACAAGGATTTTTGCGTTTTCCCCGTTCACGCTACCCGCAAGCAACAAATTTTGTTGATGCTTTGGGCGAATAGGACATGCCAGAATACTCGTCGAGGGTTTGAAGTACACCTTGACGTTGTGACGAGCACGTCCATGTGACTGAGAGTTGGTCCACCACACATGGTGTCCCTTGTCCCACGCCGCTAGGACCGGCCATCCACGAAGCGCATGGAACAATTCGCCTTTCACTGTGCGAGTCACCAACGCGATCGAAGTCAGGGGGTGCTCTTGAGTGCAACGACTCACAATCTCAATGACCGAAGGCAGAATGTCCAAGCCACAGAAAATTATTGAAAACTTATCTTGCATTGCTGCCATGGTGATGTTCTCAAGTGGGTACGATCGAGGGTAAAAAACATAGTTTTTATTAAAAGAAGAGGCAAACAAACAAGAGATTTTGCAATCAGCAAGCTTCTCTAGCTTTAATAGATCATCATCACATAGCACATATGCCTCATCCACTCGATCTACTCCTCCAACTAGGTACCCACACCCTAGTTGGGCTTCTGAAAATCCTTCTTTCCAGAAGGTCCCGCGCCGCCTGGCTTCGGCTTCCCAGAGTACTTGATTGGGTTCTTGTTACGGCACTGCTTCTGGATGTGTCCAATAAATCCACAGCCGTGACACCGCATCTTGGAGAAGTCCGGCTTGTTAGGGCCATGACCTCCCCCCCCGTTAGCCCTCTTGGCCTGTGGTCCAGGCTGGTGCTCACGCTGCTGGAAAGGTCGCTTATTCGAACCGCCTCCGCCATTGGCGTTCTGGGGCCGGTTCCCACGACCACCGGAGCCCTCAGCACGGGGCTGCTGGTCGGCCTTTGCAGGACCATGGATATATGTGCGAATGACGGTGTCAGTTTTGATCACCTGCTCCTTCAGCTCCTTGTAAGTCGTCCAATTGGTCATGCCGCCGATCATGTGTGCCTCTTGCAGGTTGACAGGGAGGCCTTTCATAAAGAGGTGCATCATCTCCTCCTCAGACAAGGGCTTCTGGAGCGAGCGTGCTGCGGCCTCCAACTCGACCGCATATTCCTGCACCGGACGGTCATGTCACTTGATATGCTCAAGGCGTCCGCGCAGTTCCAGGTCGGACTTCTTGACCATGAATGCCTCTTTCAGCGCGGTGCAAAACTCCGGCCACCCAAATGGTCCATGCGCCTGCTTCTTAGCGCCATACACTGCCCTGCGGGCCACCTCGTCCAATGCACGAGTGGCTGCAGTAACGCGAGCCTCAGGACGCACATTCGCAAGGATCATGGTTTCATTCACCAGATCAAGCCAAGGCTGCACCTCCGTCTTGCGATGGTTAAACTCAGGCAGAGGCGCCGAGAGAGACCCAAAGGGCGAGGTCTCAGTTGGAGGTGGCTGATGCATAGCCGTCGCAGCGCCTACCGCTGGGGGTGCGGGTGGAGCGGGTGCCGACTGAGCAGCAGGAGCAGGCCTACGCCCAGGAGGAGGTTCGTAGATACCCTCCCTCCTAAGTTTGGTCACCTGCTCATTGAGCTTGTTGAATGATACTTGCAGATTATTGCAAGTCTTCTGAAGCCACTCAATTTCACGGTTCTTAGTGCCCAGGCTGCGACGGAACTCAGTAACCTCCTTCATGGTAATGCTCAGTCGAGCCTCGAGGTTCTGAGTGTGCTTCTTGAGTCCATCAATGGACGTCTGCTGCTGCAGGATGGTGATATTCAGAGTTGCCACCTTAGCCTGGAGTTGGACAATCTCCTCGGAGATAGGATAAGTCGTGCCTTCACCCTCAGTGAAGTCATTTTCATCACCAGTGGCCTCCTTCCCACAGTTGCTGTGTGCGAACATCTGTAAGTGTCCCGTCGCGCCGCTACGCGGCGAAAGAAACGCCGCAAGGTGCTCGACATCGCTTCAACTGCTCGAGAAAGTAATCACCCTGGCTTTTGTGGTGCTGGCGTGTAACTGAAGCGCTACACAAAGCCTAGATGCTGATATCTGGCTCTTCGAGCGCGGACGTCGCGGACTTCACCTCAACATCACTCTCGCTTATGGTTTACGGCTGAAGAATTTTTCGTCGAGCGCGGACTTCACGGACGCACCGACGAGTTTCTGCTGAGATGAAGCTTGAAAAGGTGGAAAAGGGTACAATAGTTGGCCATTATGACTTTGTTGGGAAAACGCGATCGCAATCCCCCTATTCCCAACCTGGCTCTGACCGTCAGGAGACCAAGTGAGCTCGGAATCGAACCTCCCCATTTTCAATTTTCGGGACCGGACGCGTTCCTGCACGAGCAGCGACGACAATCTCGTAGACGGTTACAAGAATCAAACTTCGTCACAATGACCACCAATTCAATGTAGACGCACCTGTTACCGGAAGTCGAATATCAGCGAAGCTTGGCGAATCGGATGGGTCGGTTCGAGGGAACCCGAGGCTGGACTTCCTCCCCATGGGTTTCCCCGATGTGTCAGCTCAATTCTGCCACACAGAGGCTGGCAAGTTCTGGTTAGTTATCGAGCACGCCCTCATTCCTTCCATCTCACCCCAACAATACGTTCTCCCCGTTTCAGACAGCGACCAACCTAGTAAACCTAATCTTGATGGAACCAGTAACGCACGGCAGTCCACGGTACAGTGCGCTGCGTCGCGGCAGATCTTTCGCTTCTAGGCACTCACCTACTCGCCAGAGTCATTCCACGCCACGCGCAGCCGGTCGTCTGGTTTTCAGCACCCCGCTCATTTCCGGTTGATGCTCTCTAGGTATGCCGGGCATGGTAAGGTACTGCTTGCTAGCACCATCCTCTCGAAATCGCTGTTTTTCCTCGTGGCGCTTTTTTTAGGCCAGGTTCTCTAGTGCATGCGAAACCTAGCACTTCTTCCGGCGTCCCTAGTGTCTCGGATTCCCCTCATGGAGTTCCGGACGATCCATAGTCTTCCCGACGATCTTCTCTTTAAGATCCTTACGCACTCCTTAGAGCAACCGGCTTCACGCGAGTCGCGATTGGACAACTTGGCCACTGACGATTGGCCAAACTGGCCACGTGCCATCCTTGATACAGTCCCGCCGCTAGATGCGTTTCTGATCCCATACGTGGTACTAGCCCCTCCTCCCGCCGCCGACGTGGCTCGGAATCTCATCATCGCGTCCGTCTGCCGTCGGTGGCGCCGTGTGGCGAAGCTTCGCGTGACCACGCTGTTCCTTAAACAAGGCCTCGTGGTGTCCCTTGAAAATCTCTCAGCCGCCGTCGCGTGCTTCCCCAACCTCACCCATCTGCATCTCAGCGACAACAGCGTTGAGCCGCTCGACGACGCCTTCCTCGCTCACCTCGCATCTTCATGCCCGAAGCTGACGACGCTCCACGTGGGAAAAATCTTTGTAGTGGACGACCATGATGGTGCCACTTTTGAGCATTACCTTAGGAGGGAGGAGCATCCGATCTCTAAGGATGCTTTAGATCGCTTCTTCTTGGAACTCCCTCAATTGGAGCAGTTTTCTCTCCTCTGCCCTCACCAAGCAACAGATTTATCGGAATCTTTCTTTCGTTTGAGGCATCTCCGTACCCTTGTCCTCACTGACGCATCGGCCTTGGAGAATCCCGAATTTGCAAGCCTCACTGCTCTTACCACTGTTTCTGTCACCTTTCCCTGGAATCTATTCCACCTAGCCACCTTCGTTCGCCTCCCACGGCTCGCCCATATAACCACCTGCGCCCCATACCAGAGCGAGCCCTATGAGGGTGCTGCAAGGATAGTGCTGCCGTCTTGCCTCAAGTCGCTCATTTTTGCGGTTTCTTGTCCTGATTTCAACACCATCATCTACCCATCAGCATCGCCATTCACCGCACTAGAGGAGCTGCTCATTACCACCTGCAGTGAGCTCACGGACCTTCCAGACCGCATTGACTACTTGCTGCCCTGCCTTCGCAAACTGACGGTTCGCAATTGCTACTCTTTGGAAACCCTACCTGAAAGCCTCAGTTCCCTCAGCCGCCTGGAAACGCTCGTTTTCTCTAAGTGCGGTCTCCTTACCTTGCCCAGCAACTTCGGCCACCTACCTGTCCTCAAACTGCTGGTGCTGAAGCAGTTGCCTCTCTCATTACTTCCTCCTTCCTTCTGCCACCTCACGTCACTCAAAGCTTTCTGCATCACCAAATGCAGCTTTCCTCTACCAGAAGGCATAGGGGCCCTCGCAAATCTCCAGGCTATCATGTTGGCGGAATATTATCAGCCCCTTCCTGCTTCATTCACGCAGCTCTCTTCCTTGACCAGCCTTGACCTGGATGACTGTGGGGAAGACCAGCTGCCGGAAGCCCTGGGGGCGCTGAGCAACCTGCGGGAGCTGAAGATTCAAGGCAATTCAATCCGCACACTTCCCATGTCACTCTTACAGCTTACTGCGCTTCAAACTTTGGAGATTGTCTCTTGTGACTTTCTTTCAGAAGTGCCTTTGAGGCTGGATATGCTCGTGGGGCTGAAGAAGCTGGTGGTGATAGGGTGTGCGAGGCTCAGCAGACCCCCTGCCAGTCTGCCAACCTCTCTTCAGACCCTCCATTTAAGCGGCCATGGAGAAGGCTGCTCTTCGCATGTCGTGGACATCTCCGGGCTGTTGCAGCTGAGGGAGCTGGGTCTGCACAGGTTTAAGGTGCGGTGCGGGCCTGTTGAGAGTGGGAGGTTGCCGTGCCTGCAGCAGCTGGAGAAGCTGGCGATGGCTATCACTCCTGAAGGTTGGGATCTGCCGATTGCCCAGACCGTCCTTCCCCGCCTGCGCGACTTGAGTGTGACTTGTGTGGATGACGGTAGCAGCCTCCCGGAGAACATGGCAGCAACCTTCCCTCAGCTGCGGGAGCTGGATCTTTATTGTTATTCAGAGGAGCTGCCGGGAAGCGTTGTGGAGATTAGCTCGCTGACATCACTCACGCTTCACGCACCTCGGCTGACAGCACTACCTGAGGGCATGACGTCCTTGGTTCAGCTGCGCAAACTGGAGCTGATTCGTTGCACCGCCTTGCAGCACATTCCGGAGTTTCTCACCCAGCTGCAGCAGCTGATACTGCGTGTCACCTCCATCACCGTCCCTGCAAATCTGTTGCAACTCATTGAGGAGCGGTGACTCGGCTGGCTGCCTTGGGCTCGCTAGCAGCTCACTGAGGTGAGGTGCGTGGATTGGGATTGGTTAAGTTGAGTAGCTGGGTGTCACCAAGGTGGGAGTTGCTGAGAGTTGGTGAGGAGTGGGTGAGAGTGGCTGGGGGATGGCTGGGGGAAGGTGATGGGCAGGCCAGGTGCGTTGAGAAGGAGGTTGCAGCCAAGGTGAGACTCATTTCGCCATCTTCTCTTAATTGCCTTCCCAACCGTCTTAATATCTTATCTCGTCTTTCCATTCAGCCCCCAGTCGAATTCTCCCCCCTCCTCCCCACTCCAGTCCAGCCTCGCATATGTGGATCCTACCCCAACGCCTTCTGACTCCCTTATATTTGCCCCTACCGCAAAAGAGCACAGTATTCTCGAAGTCGCTACCTGTTCCTCCCAATTCTCCGCTTTTCCGCCCTTTCTTTCCCCCCCCTCCTCCTCCCCCTTCCCCCCCCAATTCCAGTTCCAGATCCGCACCTGCTTCTCCTGCACCTAGTCACAGATTATAACCCCTACAGCACTATCTCCCTCATCCCTCACCCCTGGCTCCGCATCTGCTTCTCCTATACCAACTTCCATCCCACAGGCCCGTGCCTCTACGACATTGTCTCCCACATTCCGCTCATAAGTCACTGCCTTTTTTCCTCGTTTCCCCACCCCCCTCCCCTCCCAGCTCTGCAGTTGCAGGCAGTGGCAGGGCAGTGGCAGGGCAGTGGGAGGGCAGTGGCAGGTCGCTCTCAGGTCGCTCTCAGGTCAGTCTCAGGTCACACTCAGGTCACCCTCAGGTCTGTCTCAGGTGGGGTCAGTCTCAGGTCACTCTCAGGTCACTCTCAGGTCACTCTCAGGTCACTCTCAGGTCACTCTCAGGTCACTCTCAGGTCAGTCTCTGGTCAGTCTCAGGTCGTCTCAGGTCAGTCTCAGGTCAGTCTCAGGTCACCAGTCTCATTTCGTTTTGGGCGGTTGCAGGGAGGTCTCAGCTTCTTGCCTGCCACTCGCTGCCCTCCTCCCAGATAGGTGGTGGGGTGAGGGGCGTGGTCGTGGGACGGAGGACAAGGCAGGGATGCGAAGTGTGTTCTGCCAGTTCTTATTTATCTTCCTCGTTTTCTTTTCGTCCCACCTTCTCTGCCTTGCCTGCCATCACCTCTCCCTTTTTGCAGGGCCTATTCAGCAGGCGCAAGCTGCAAGGGCCCAACTGTCATCATATCTTCCGCTAGGCCCTTGGAGGGTTTTCAGGCCCCTGTGCTCCGCCTCTTCTGACCACTCGTGCATCATTGCCCCTCGTAACAACGAGGACCTCCCATCGCTCAACTACGGAGATATGTGCAATCTGTGCTTCGCACGGATGTTTGCTGAATGGCAGTCTGCTGCTGCTGCTGCTGCTCACCAAGAGTAGCGGCACATTTCCCCTCTGAACTTCACAAGTCTTTCTACTGCAGAAATCGGCTGGTTCTTCTTCCGCGAAGGGGCGGCATGTTTCACTTGTTACTACCCATGGATTTCTAAGGCATATGACCATGTGGCATAAAGCCAAGAGCCCCATTGCTTCAGATTGCAGGTGCTGAATGTACAGTGTGCACTTTGAACTGATGTATCTGGTTTCAGCAATTCAGATTGGCCCACACCTTGCCAGTATACACAATGCGTGCATCTTACACAAGTGCGTCTTGCGTCCAAACTCGCCAACAATAAACGAGAAGTCGCCTAGCCAGAGCATGGCAGAGACATGATGGGAGTGAAAGCACCTCAGGGTGGAAGGGGCGAGGGCAGAAAGCTGGGTGAGTGTAAAAACAACTTGTACTTGGATTGAGTTTAGGCAGCATGGCAGAGACCTGAGTGGGATGGGGCTCCATGACACATGGAAGTGGAACGGAAGGAGGCAATGTATTAAATATAGGGAAGGAGAAAACGAAATGGTGACAGCTGGAGGCTCTGAGAAATACACTTATGCAGGCAACGGGTGTGCACAAACATGCTGGCTTTGGCACTTGTAGCATGCAAGCCTGGTGAATGGGAAAACTGAATCATATGAGGCAAGATATTTCATTTCCAGATTGCGCCACCACAGCTAGCACATACGTTTGATCTGCCTCCTCTAACTTGGGTTAACTTAAAGTGCTGGAGGGAATGAGCCGAACCGGTGTGGAAGCACAGGTAACGAGTGGGATGTAGGAGGGAGTAGGGGGATAAGAGAAATTGGGGGATGGGATAAATGCGGGGGAACAAGAGGAGTGAGGGGTATGAGAGGAGTGAGGGACATGAAGGGAGTGAGGGGTATGACAGAGTGAGGGTATCGGAGGAGGTATGAGAGGAGTGAAGGGAATGAGAGGAGTGAGGGGTATGAGAGGAGTGAGGGGTATGAGAGGAGTGAGGGCCATCAGAGGAGTGAGGCATGCCAGGCTGAATCATGCCAGGCTGAATCATGCCTGGCTGGGTCATGACTGGCTGAGTCATGCCTGGCTGAGTCATGCCTGGCTGAAACATGCAGGGCTGAAACGTGCCAGGCTGAATTTTGTATGGCTGAATCATGCGTGGCTGAATCATGCCTGTCTGAATCATGCCTAGCTGAATCATGCCTGGCTGAATCATGCGTGGCTGAATCATGCCTGGCTGTTTCATGCCTGGATGAATCGTGCCTGGCTGAATCATGCCTGGCTGAATCATGCCTGGCTGAATCATGCCAGGATGAATCATGCCTGGCTGAATCATGCATGGCTTAAACATGCCTGGCTGAATTATGCCTGGCTGAATCATGCCTTACTGAATCATGCCTGGCAGAATCATGCCAGGCTGAATCATGCCTGGATGAATCATGCCTGGCTGAAACATGCCCGGCTGAATCATGCCTGGCTGAATCATGCCTGGCTGAATCATGCCTGACTGAATCATGCCTGGTTGAGTCATGCCTGGCTGTATCACGCCTAGATAGATCGTGCCTGGCTCGCTGAATCATACTTGGCTGAATCAAGGTGCAAAAAAACGACGTTTTTTTCAAATTTTGATCGTAAATACCGTATTGTAAGAAACAATCGTAAAAAACGATAAAAAAACGGTTTTTGGAAATAAATACTTTTGGTGCAAAAACACCTTCGTTTTTTTCAGTAAAAAGACCAAAACTGCTGCTAAAACAAGGGGATTGATTGGTGAGAAGAACAAGGGGGGCGTTAGAAGTGCTGATGATGCAGCGGAAGATTGTTAGAAGTGCTTTTGTGATCAGAACAGCATCTTTGAAGTTGAAGAGTTTTTTTTGTCTAACAAAAAAACGACGTTTTTTTCCCAAAAGGTACCGTAAAAAACCATCGAAAAAAACCATCGTATTTTTCGACAATCGTTTTTTTCTACCTTGGGCTGAATCATATCTGACTGAATCATGCTTGGCTGAACATGCCTGGCTGAATCATGCCTGGCTGAATCATACCCGGCTTAATAATGCCTGGCTAGATCATCCCTGGCTGAATCATGCCTGGCTGAATCATGCCTGGCTGAATCATGGCTGGCTGAATCATGCCTGGTCGAATCATGCCTGGCTGAATCATGCATGGCTGAATCATACCTGGCTAAATTATGCCTAGCTGAATCGTACCCGGCTTAATAATGCCTGGATAGATCATTCCTGGCTGAATCATGCCTTTCTGAATCATGCCTGGATAAATTATGCCTAGCTGAATCATACCCGGCTTAATAATGACTGGCTAGATCATTCCTGGCTGAATCATGCCTGGCTGAATCATGCCTGGCTGAATCATTCCTTGTTGAATCATGCCAGGCTGAATCTTGCCTGGTTGAATCATTCCTGGCTGAATCATGCCTGGCTGAATCATGCCTGGCTGATTCATGCCTGGCTGGATCATGACTGGCTGAATCATGCTTGGCCGAATCATGCCTGGCTAACCATGCCTGGCTGAAACATGTATGGCAGATTCATGCCTGGCTGAATCATGCCTGGCTGAATCATGCCTGGCTGAATCATGCCTGGTAAATCATTCCTTGTTGAATCATGCCTGGCTGTTCCATGCCTGGCTGAATCATGCCTGGCTGAATCATGCTTGGCTGAATAATGCCAGGCTGAATAATGCCAGGCTGAATCATGCCAGGCTGAATCATGCCTGGCTGAATCATGCCTGGCTGAATCATGCATGGCTTATTCATGCCTGGCTGAATGATGCCTGGATGAATCATGCATGGCTTATTCATGCCTGGCTGAATAATGCCTGGATGAATCATGCATGGCTGATTCATTCCTGGCTGAATAATGCCTGGATGAATCATGCATGGCTTATTCATGCCTGGCTGAATCATGACTGGCTGAATCATGCTTGGCCGAATCATTCCTGGCTAACTCATGCCTGGCTGAATCATGCCTGGCTGAATCATGCTTGGCTGAATCATGCCTGCCTAACCATGCCTGGCTGAATCATGCTTGGCTGAATCATGCCTGCCTAACCATGCCTGGCTGAAACATGTATGGCAGATTCATGCCTGGCTGAATCATGCCTGGCTGAAGCATGCCATTCGTGCTTATGCCTTGCCGTATCATGCATGGAGAATTCATACCTGGATGAATCATGCTTGGATGAATCATGCCTGGATGAATCATGCCTGGCTGAATCATGCTTGTCTGAATCATGCATGGCTGAATTGTGCCTGGCTGAATCATTCTTGGCTGAGTCATGCCTGGATGAATCATGCCAGGGTGAACTGAGATGCACTGAAGCTCACCGTACCACACCGGAGCTCACTGAACCGCACCGGTCTTAACTGCACCGAACCTCCCTGAGCCTCACTGAACCTCCTTAAATCTCCCTAAAATTCACTGAACCGCACAACTTCACCGGACTGAAACCCACCAGAGCCCACTGAACCGCACTAGACTGAACCGCACCGAACCTCCCTGAATCTCTCTGAACCTCATTTAACCTCACCGATAATTATTGAATCGCGCAGGACCTCAGTGAACCATACAGGACTGTACTGAACCACACAAAATCTCACTGAACCTCACGGACCTCACCTGACCTCATCGCACAATACCTCACTGAACCTCACAGTCCTTCCCTCTGTCCTCCCCTACTCTCATCATTGGCACTCACCCGCCATATATTTTTCCCTTTTTCCTCCAACAGGTCCTACACGGCAACCTTTAGGGTAAGGTCGTCATCCTTGTAACAAGGAGCAGGGGCCTCTGGGCTCCGGAATGGCTCTTACTAGGCGCCTTTCCAGCCAGGTGCGCTGCCGTCCCTTTCCCCTAGGCCTTCATCTTCCGCGCCTCCCCTGCCCTACCTTGCACTGCCTGCCTGCTCTTCCTTGCTCACCTCTTCCTTTCTGCAGGCACAATTCAGTAGGTACAAAGGCCAGAACATCACCACTTCCATCACCATCTCCCTCTTGTTTCTCTTCAGTTTTTCTTTCTTTTGGCTGAGAAGTGGTAGTTGCAATGTGTGCATCAAATATTGATTAACAGAACAATCTACGGTACTGTTCCTGAAACTCTTACACTGGATCCAGTGTTAAAAGTCAGTCTCAGACAATGGATCGTAGACTTTGATCTGCAACCCATACATGCTGTAGATGCTGCGAGGCCGCACCTTGTCTTCACTATCGAACACATCCCAACAATCTTCCAGCCCCAAGTAGCGCAGCAACTTCAGCTCTGTCAGATCCTCTGGCAAGGTTTTCAGATGCGCACAGCTATTCAGATTGAGGCGCCTCAGTCTGGTCAATCTGGCGAATCCAGAAGGGAGGGAGCGTATTGAAGTTTCTGAGGCATCTAGCTCATGAAGGCATGTGAGCCGTGTGAGGGAGGCAGGCAGGTGCTGCACGGTCCTGCAATCGGACACGAGGAGCTTGCGCAAGCGAGTCAATGCACCGATGTCACGAGGGAGTGATGCGAGGTACTTGCATGCTCGAATCTCCAAGGATGTTAAGTGGCGCAGCTTGTGCACCTTTGCTGGCAGCTTTCTCAGAGACGAATTCTCAATTCTCAGCCTCCACAGCTGCGGCAGCGATGATCGGAAGTGTTCGGGAAGAGTTGTCAGCTTGGCAGAGCCCGAAATATGCAAGGTATGGAGGTGTGGAAGGACTGGCCAGGGTGAGGGGAGATCCTCAGCATCATCTGCCAACTCCAGTTTCAGCCGCCTCAGTGGAGATGCACTCGTGATACCTGCCAGGCTGCATCCAGCATCAACATTGGTGAGATCGAGACTCCTCAGATGTGGTAGAGTGGGCATGACAAGGTGAGGAACAGGCTGGTTGCAACTCGGCATAGCCAAGATCTCCAGAGTGGGTGGGAGAGATGCTGGAGGTTCAGCCAGCCTGGTGCAACGAACCAGCTCCAGTCGCTTCAGCCTCGTAAAGCCATCCAGCCTTGGAAATGAAGAGAGCCGATTGCAGCCATCAATGACTAGAATCTCCAACACAGTGAGCAGCGAGAAGGAGCTTGGGAACTCCGTGAGATTCGGGCAGGAGCATAAGTGCAGGTGCTGCAGGTTAATCAGCTTCCCTATGTCCTGAGGAAGCTCTTCAATCATGGACTGATTGAGCTCAAGCCTGGTTAAGGCAGAGAGCTCCGTGAAAGACGATGGGAGAAGCCGTTGCGCCTCGCAGTTCTCTTCAAGAAGAAGCGTTTTCAGATTGCTGAGCCGTCCAATGTCATCTGGAAACATCAAAACCGGCGACAGTCCGAGGTACAGTGTCTCAAGAGCAGTGAGGCAGGAGAAATCCGCTGGCAGCTGGCGGACCCCTTTGCAATCGAGAAGGCCTAAGATCTCCAGAGAAGTGAGCTGACCAAACGAATCAGGGAGATCTGTGAGAGGCAACGAGTACAGCTCCAGCAGCTTCAGGCCAGGCAACTCCCCGAAGTTTCTAGAAAGGCTGGTAAACGAAGTGCAACTACAAATGCGCAGGTTCTCTAACCGTCCGAGTGAGGTGAATTCCTCTGGCAACCCAGTCAAGTTCCAACACGAGTAAAGGTTCAACTCCAGCAGACCCGGCATCAGCTCTCCAATCGCAGTGGGGAGACGCTCAATATGGTTGATAGAGCCTAGCTGCAATCGACGAAGATCGGTTCCTGGTGAGCCTGAAGGAAACAACTCGTAGAATCCATGAAAGAGGGAATTGACTTCTAGTGACCTCAGATGAGGTAGCTGTAGAGACGGGGAATGATCAGGCACGGAATCACGATGAAAGAGGAGGGTCTGACGGGAGATTACAAGAATGATAAGGCGTGAAAGATGCCGTAGGCTTAAGAATTGCTGATGAGTGAGGTGCGGTGAGGCTATATGGAGAGTGGAGAGCAAGCGGAAATTGGCAAATCCAGGATCTTCAAGAGCGGAAGAATTGGTTAGTACGAGGGTACGCATGTGCGTTAGTTGGAAGATGGAACGTGGCAGGTTAACATCTCGGTGGATGCAGAAGAGCGAAAGCTGCTCGATTCGTGTACACTGTTGGAAGAACCGATCCAGTCCAGCTTCACTTATTGGATGCGAATCTTCTGGAACTTGGATGCTCGCATCATGATGGAATACGTTGATCCTGGTTCCCACGTGTAGAGTCTTGAGCTTAGGGCAAGTGGAGGCGAGATGATCAAGGAACGCGTCGTCAACGCACTCCATACTGCCGTCGTTCAAATGAAGGTGGGTCAGATTCGGGAAGCGAGTGATGGCGTTCGCGAGATCTTGGCGGGAGACAACAAGATTCGCTCGAACAGAAAGGCTGCTGACATGGCTCCGTGCGAGGCGACGCCAGTCACGGCAGACAGAGGCTACAAGAAGGTTCCACGCGATATCCGCGGAAGGAGGAGGCGCCGGTATGGGAGTGGTGCTCTTCTCAAGAACGTTAGATCCACCAAAGGTTCGCCTTGGACTCATGCACTCATAAGCGCTATTCTCAGGTCCACCCGATATGGACTGGCTGGGATGCCATAGAATCTTCACAAGGAGGTGAGTGGGAAGAGAGAGTATATCCGTGCACGCCATGCTGCGAGATCGAGCAGTTACTACTTATCTGGAAGCAGACTGCTGCTACCAAGGATGAGAAGAAGGCACGGGTATAGAAAGATTTGGAAATTCACCAACACGGCAGATGCAGATCCAGGAACCTTATATAAAACTCGCTGGAGAGCTACTGCCTCTCACGCCCTAAAAGATAGAACAGCTTTCCACTACTTCGATGATTCCAACGTTCTCCTTCTCCATATTTAACTTTCGACGACTCCAACACCTCGATTCGTCCAAATGTCCTCGTTGACAGAGAAAGGCTTCACAACTGTTTCTGAATTTTGAAATACCTAGGTATGGCAGCACGAATTGACGGGCTGTAGGAGCTGGGGCGTGGCCTGCTTGAGGGAGCAGCCCCTTGTCATCGGCGTTCAGTTACCCGTTGTTGGATCACTTGAAAGGAGGACCTCGATTCTGATTTGGCAGCGTGACTCCCCCATTTCGGGGCAGGCGAACTTGCTAGCGAAAATATTACAAAATATCTGAGGCGTTATGACATCGCGTGTTTTCGTCTGTACTTCGTTCTGCAATAAACTGAGTCATGGTGGGTTACTTCGCGAGCACTTCGCGCAGTACAGTATCACTTCCGACGAAGCACGTTGCGGAGTGCAACGAAGTCTGTTCGGATTTGAAGCTTTCGAAACTTCTCAACCAGGTTCAGCCCCAGATCAGCGAAAAGGAAGCTGGAGGGCCACTGGCGTGCTTGGTTGGAGAGAGCTGACGAACAATGCCAATCCCAGAATTGGCAGAAAGGCTGGGGCAAGGGACGAGGGGATTGGTTGAGGCAACTAGCGAATTTGAGGTTTGGCCCCCGAGAAAACCGCTGGTAACAGATTTCGAGCTCCATCCCCCCAGGAGGGAAGAACTGCTGGTATCGAAAGGTTGCACTAGAAGGGCTGGGCTTGCGTGGGTTTCTCCAATCGACCTGCACCTGCAAGTTTTGTACCACTAGAAGCCATGGTGCAGACACGCCACGTTCAGTGCTTCATATTAGCTAGGAACTCAACTCTGGGAAGCTGCTGCTCACATAGAGATGTATCTAAGCGAACATAGCAGTACATAGTCCCATTTGTGCTGCTCGGGGTGTTGCAAAGTCGAAGCATCGCTGGTTCATGTAGTTCGTTAGGCATACCCTATAGATGTGGCTGATTCTACCGGGGCTGTGAGCTGCAGCCTGGAGGGAGTTAGTGTTGAATCAAGATTGAGATCTCATACACGTCGCCTCATCTGCCGGTTTTTCTTTCTTCACCGCCGAAATGGAGTTTCGTGGAACCCACATCCACCATCTCTCTGACGACGTCTTGATCAGCATCTTTTGGCCTTCCGAACAATCGAAATCGTACACATCTGAGAGCGATCGACTTTGGAGTTCTCTTTCGCTTAAGCCCAAGTACATCTACAACGCTTTCCCAGAGGACTCACTATGGCGAACAGAATCTTCCATGCCGATCCTTCCAGCCTCCGCAGATGCTGCTCATAGCCTCCTCATCGCCTCGATCTGCCGGCGCTGGCGGCGTCTCGCTCAGAGCCATGTCTCGTCGCTCTTCGTAAAGAAATACCGCACTGTTTCTCGGCAGGATATCCTCAACGCCGTCGCTTGCTTTCCCAATCTGACCCATCTGCATCTGTCATATAGAAGTGTTGAAGCTGCAGACAACACTTTCCTAGCTGACCTCGCCTCTTCGTGCCCTGGGCTGAGAGCGCTGCACGTGGGGGAGTTGATGCTGTTTAAGGGTAACGAACGTCATGGACGGAAGGCCGCTTGCCTGATCGGCAAGTCTGACTTGGATCATCTCGCCCGTCACTGTCCTCAACTGGAGCAGCTGTCGCTGGAGTGGCTCGAGGAATATGTCAATCCACCAGCTTCCCTCTTTCAGCTACCGTTGCGCACGCTCATGTTGGGCAACAATGCTTTCGTCTTAGATGCACCAGGACTCAGCTCCCTTTCGTCTCTCACTGCTCTCACCATTGAAAACAGAGTGCTTCGCTACGACCAGCTTTCCAGTCTCCGTCACCTCACCAACCTCGTCCACATCTCCTTGCCTAGCAATATGTCCACCAATTCTGAAGACCACCTGGACTTCTCCCTCGCTCAGCTACCTTGTCTCGAGTCGCTGAGATTCGGTCTGTGGTTTACACAGTTCGACGCCGTCTTCCCTCTCGAATTTCCACACAGGTTTCTGAAACGGCTGCAGCTTCACCATTGCTACCACCAGGAGCGGCTTCCGGACAGCATAGGAGACGTGCTGCCAAGCCTTGTAGAGCTCAGCATCAGTGACTGCGAAACCTTCAGCGATCTGACCGACGAGTTCACCTCGCTCACATGCCTGGAGAGCTTGACCATATCCTCATGCAGTGTCTACATTCTGCCCGAGAATTTTGGAAATCTGCCAGCTTTGAAAACGTTGGTGCTGAACAGGCTGCCTCTTCTCAGTCTTCCTGCCTCCTTCACCAGACTCGGATCTCTGGAGACGTTTTTCCTGCTTGGGTGCGAGGCGGTGTATGATCTACCTGCAGGGTTTGGTTGTCTCACAACGTTGCAAACTCTGTCTCTTGTGTGCTCCTGGTACCTGGACCTTCCAGAAGACATTGGCGGCCTCACCAATCTCCAGAATTTCCGTCTCGAAAAGAATTGCACAGAGCAGCTGCCGTCCTCATTCACGCAGCTGGCGTCACTGACAAGGCTCGAAGTGGATGGGTGCAGGGTGGGTGGGCTTCCAGAGGGAGTGGGGACGATGGCAAGGCTGCAGGAGCTGTACATTCTGGACTGCCCTGACATTTCAGAGCTTCCAGATTCTGTGACCAGCCTAGTCAGCCTTCGGGTGCTCATGGTTATTAAATGTCCCTTTCTCTCTTCGGTTCCTAGGAGGCTGGACAGCCTTACTAGGCTGAGGCAGTTGGAGCTGAGAGGGTGCGCGCTGCTAAACGAAGCCCCTGAGGCTCTGCCACTCAGTCTCCAGGCTCTGACCTACGACAACAATCAGCAGATGGTGTTTCTGCCAAACATTTCAAGGCTTACAGAGCTCAGGAAATTGCACTTGGGCTTTGTTGGTGCAAGATGTCTGCTAGCCATCAGTTACCACCTCTCTGCTCTGGAGCACCTGGAGCTGGCGCTGGAAGAAGTTGCAGGGGAGTTTTTGTTTGCATTAACAAGGCTTTCTCGCCTTCGCACCTTGACAATTAAGGAGGTTCGCAGCTTAAAGAAGCTGGTGGAATGTGGTGGTGCGACATTGCTGGAGCTACGGCAGCTGAACATCTACTCCATGTGTGATGAACTCACAAATCTGCCTGCGGCCATTACCACTCTCCACCACCTGACATCCATGCAAATTCATGCGCCCAAGTTGTTTTTTCTTCTGGACTCCATTGGAGCATTGTCAAGACTGCGCAAGCTGGATTTATCCGACTGCTCATCCCTCAGACATCTCCCTGACTCCCTCTCGCAGCTCTCCTGCCTTCACAACTTGACGCTCAGCAACACTCCCATCCGCTCACTTCCTTCAGGCCTCGCTCAGCTTAGGAGACTGAGGTGGCTTGATCTCCGTAACTGCAAGCAACTGGAGGCTCTGCCAAGTGACATAGAGGATTTCAGAATGCTCGATCTTTGCCTTACAGAAGGCTGTGACAAGCTCCAGAGCTGAATATGATTGTCACCGTGCTAGGGCCCCTGTGTTGTGGAGGGTCCAGACCAGACAACTTACAGAATTTGCATTATTTCTGTTCAAGTTTTTACCACTCAACCAGCAATGCATTACACAACTGGTAACACATGCATGCTGAAACTACCGTAGCATGGCAAGGGATGCCATGCCGCACTAGAAGTGTGTCAGTGCAGGGTGAAATTAATTACACGAGAAGATAAGAGAATCAGCAGATAGTAAGTACTAAAGCGCAGGCAGATTATTCATGACAAATTCATAATATGGATATGAAACTCGAAACTGATAACCTTAGCCTCTACATGAGGCATCTGTCTCACAGCCACTCGGTTCCAAGTAGATCAACCTGGTGAGTGGTATGCCCAAGCGGTTGGGCGCTGAATCGAGCCTGCTGCAGTCTCTGAATACTGCAGGTCACAAGACGGTGGGGCGGGGTGGAGCAGACGGAAACATAGTCATTGGGCGGTGAGATCAGTGATGCAGGGACACGTGTACATCGAGAGAGTTTAGGCAGGAAGGTGCTGCACCCCACCTCCACACACACTGACCAACTCTCCCTCCAACTGCTCCCTTCAAAACCATTTCACTTCTCCATCCTGCCCTTGTGCTGCTCTTTAAGACTTGCTGGATGCGACCCAGCCGGCATGCTTTGTCTGGGGCTATGGGGGGGTGGGAGCAGAGAAGCGGGGAAGAAAGGTGCAGAGAGGGAGGGGAGGGGAGGAGCACTCACTTCACCAACTCCCATAATGACCGCAAGGCTGAGAGCCAGGAGAAGGGCGTGATGGAGTGACTCCCCAACGCTAAAGGGGTCGAGATTGGCGCCAGACAATTTAGGGTAGGAGGGAGAGCAGTATGAGAGGCAGCGAGAGAGGGCGGTGAGAATGGTTTGGGCGAGGCGGCGAGAGACGGCCGGTACTCAGTGCACTATGCGCAGCTGATGGCCGACTGAGGGGCAGGGGGGAAAGGGGGAAGGGTGGAACGTTGGAGAGTGGGTGAGGAGGAGAGGGAGCAGCATGACGGGGGCAGCCGGAGGGGCTGGTGAGGTTGGTGCGGGAGAGACGGCAGAGATGGGCGCTACTGGGTGCACCATGCACACCTGAGGAGGTGGTGATGGGGAGGGTGGAGGAACAGGGAAGGGGGTGAACTGAGAACAGAGGCGAGTGGGGGGAGGCACTGGTTGGAACTTGGACAATGCAGACGGGATGGGTGACAAGGGAAGAGACAATACAGGGACATACACGACTGGTTGGAAGGTATTGGTAGGACTATGCACGTCTGGTGGATGGTTGAGAGGAAGGGGGAACACAGGGATAGTGATGAGTGATCAGCGTGTGAGGGGACGGGAAAGGGATGGGTAAGGGATGGTAAGGGATGGGTAAGGGATGGTAAGGGATGGGTAAGGGGATGGGTAAGGGATGGTAAGGGATGGGTAAGGGATGGGTACGGGGATGGGTAAGGGATGGGTAAGGGATGGGTAAGGGATGGGTAAGGGATGGGTAAGGGATGGGTAAGGGGATGGGTAAGGGATGGGTAAGGGGATGGGTAAGGGATGGGTAAGGAGATGGGTAAGGATGAAAGAGTCATGTCATGTCCCTTCAACCTCTCCGCCATGGCTACTGCTTTAAAGCCCGAGTACTACATGGCTGATTTCATATTCAAGATTCTTGAATATGAATTCGCCAAAAACCATGTTACCACCCGAAGTGGAGCATTCTCTCACGATAGTGATCTGTGATTGGCCAGCGACACTCAAAGTCATATCGAGATTACGGTCAGCAGGCAAGGCAGCACTGTTCACTTGAACTGAACTTGAAAACCATCTTGTACTAATTGTCAAGCATACTAGACATAGTTCACCCGTCATTCATGCCCAAAAAGTCACTTCGTTTTTGCACACAACTCATGTTCGAACACCCGCAAGATGCTGCTGCTATATTCTCCCTGGTCTAGAGCTAGGTTGTTGGTCGCTTAGGTTCCCCCATTCGCCCTCGCTTGCCCGCGACGCTTTCAGTTCTTTGGCTCCCGTTACTCGTGCGTTCTCCACGATCGCGCTCCCTTTTGTTCGTCGCCCACACTTCCAACCGTCGCTCCCTTCCATTCGCCTCCCTCCGTTCCGCTCGTCGCCCTCCCTTCCGCGCGTCGCCCTGCTCGTCTCTCTGCCTTTCGCCCGTACCCTCTCATCCGCTCGTTGCTCCACCTTCCACGCGTCGCCCTCCCATCCGAACGTCGCTCCCGTCACCATCCCTTCCGCCCGTCGCCCTCCCTTCCGCCCGTCGCCCTCCCTTTCGCACGTCGCCCACCCTTCCGCCCGTCGCCCACCCTTCCGCCCGTCGCTCTCCCTTCCGCCGGTCGCCCACCCTTCCGTCCGTCGCTCTCCCTTCCGCCGGTCGCCCACCATTCCGTCCGTCGCTCTCCCTTCCGCCCGTCGCCTTCCCTTCGTCTCGTCGCCCTTCCTCCCGCTCGTCCCCTCGCAGTCCCCTTCCTCCTCTCTCCCCGTCGCCCTCGCCATCCCTCCCGTCTCCCTTCCCATGGTGCACACTTGTCACCCTTCCCTGCTTTCCCCCATCCCCTTCCCTGCTTCCCCCCATCCCCTTCCCTACTTTCTTCCATCCCCTTCCCTGCTTCCACCCATCCCCTTCCCTGCTTCCCCCCATCCCCTTCCCTTCTTCCCCCCATCCCCTTCCCTATTTCCCCCCATCCCCTTCCCTGCTTCCCCCCATCCCCTTCCCTGCTTTCCCCCAACCCTTGCCCTGCTTTCCTCCAACCCCTTTTCTGCTTCCCCCAATCCCGTTCCCTGCTTCCCCCCATCCCGTTCCCTGCTTCCCCCCATCCTGTTCCCTGCTTCCCCCCATCCCCTTCCCTCCTTCCCCCCATCCCCTTCCCTGCTTCCCCCCATCCCATTCCCTCCTTCCCCCCATCCCCTTCCCTGTTCCCCCGTATCCCATTCCCTGCTTCCCCCCATTCCCTTCCCTCCTTCCCCCCATCCCCTTCCCTGCTTTCCCCCATCCCCTTCACTGCTTCTCCCTTTCTCCCTGTTCCCTGTCTCCGTGTTAGCCATTTCACTGAACCTGCTTTCCCCCACCCTCTGCACTGCTTCCTCCCTACCCCTGCCCTGCTTCCCCTCATCCTCTGCCCTCCCTTTCCTTCATCCTCTGCCCTCCCTTCCCCTCATCCTCTTCCCTCCCTTCCCCTCATCCTCTGTTCTGCTTCCTTCATCCTCGCCCACTTTATCGCCTGTCCACTTTACCGCCTGCCCACTTTACCACCTCAAATCCTTCCCTTCTCATCCGCGCGCAGGTGTGGCGGAAGGTGTACGTGGCGTGGAGCATGTTGGAGGAGCGGCTTGACGTGATAATCACTGATAACGCCATTCTCTGGCAAGTCAACCCGCTGCCAAGCCTAGGGGAGTGCCAACTCACGCCCCATCGTCGCCAAATGTGATCTTTACCCCGCGTGCAGCAACACGCGCATGCTCAAGCTCTTCGACGACTGGAATCCCCCAGCACAAGTGATGAGCGTCGCTCTCTCGCACTCTCTCCCATCCCTGCCGCAATGCTGCCGCCTCTTGTGCCTGCCGCCTGCTGCCCACGCCTTCCCTCCCACCTCCCCCACACCATGTGCATTTCAACATGCCAACGCAGTCCCTATTGCTCGTCTGCTCACTCTACTCTCTCCCCATTCCCTCCCCCTTTGCTCCTCTGCTTCCTCGCAGCAGGCCATCGAAGCCCCGCATCCAGCAGATTTTCGACTGGAACTGCCCAGAGCAGCACCTGCGCCACCGCCACGCCGCTCATAGAGCATTATCACTCTTCGGTTGGTTCTGCAAGATGGGCTTCTCTTCTGGTGGAGCTGTGAGGCAGCCTCCTGTTGAGACTGCCTTCAGCCTCCCCTGCTGCCCCATACTTGGAAGCTGCTCTGCCAGACAGTCAACACTTTGCGGGCAAGGAGTTGAAGGTGGATCATGGGGCAGAGGTAATGGAGTTTGGTGTGCGGCATGGTCAGTGCGGCGTGGTGTGGGAGGAAGGGGGAACGGCAAGCACAGGGTGAAAGCAGGCAGGCGCGTTGCAGGATATGGAGATTGGCAGTGTCAGCAAGATGCCGCAGAGCGTTGATGCAGGAGGGGAAGGCAGGTTGGCAGCAATGCTGGCGGCAGCGCACGTCAAGGCATGCAAGGTGGGGCACGGCTGGACTGCGCTGCTGTGGGCTAGGGGAGTGCAGAGTGGTGCAGGGAATGGCACGCCATGCTGTGTGGCGTGCCGAGACCCACATGCTGCAGTGCCAGAACATAAGGCAAGCTCACTGTGCATGCCTCAACTGGTGCTGCACATTGCAGTGCTTGCGAGTCGTGACCATGGCAGTCTGTTGCCTGCCAGCACGCCAGAGGCACTCTAAGAGCACTCTAGCGGCTGTGAGAAATGCTTCCCTATGTACCTGAAGAAGCCGGGGTTATCTGTGATGATAGTGGTAGAAGGGGTGTGTTGTGTATGCCCATATCTCGGTGTTGACCCGAGCTCTTCTTCGTGATGCAACATGTCAATACGGGCCCTATTGCGGTTGCTGCTGACGCTTCCGATTATGCAATTGGCAGTGTTGGGAGTGCAACACTTCTGAGAAACCGAAGCCAGACGCCTCTCTATTCCTTTCAAGGGAATTTGGGTACCGAAACAGACGAAGATTTTCACAAATATCGTAATAGTAAGAGATGCAGTGAGCGCAATATGAACGCAGGTGTGTAAGTTATGGTCCCTACCAAATGTTGGGCTGAGAAAGCCCTTAAGGATCTTTGCAGAGGGTAACTCTGGGTAGGATATTTGTAATAGCGGAAGCGTTTAATAAACTTGTGAACCGACCTTGCATTAGTGTGTGAGAGCAAAGTGGATTAAATTAAACAAGCAAATACAAGGTTTTATATAAGAGTACAGGGAATACGAATGGATAGATAACTGTATTTGCTGTTGCGATTCGATACAGTGCGACTCGGGCAACTGCTCTGTAATGAGTCAGTTGTGTGTCCTTAACTGTCGCGCTGTAATTGTCGAGTCAAAGGTCGCTAACCTTTGACTTTCCCGTAACCTCCAAGCGGTTACCCTAACCTCCGAGGTTTGACTCGATGCTTCGATTCGGACTGCTTCGCTAGTGTCTTGGGTTTTTGACACGACAGAAGCGCACTAAGACTTATTGTTTCCAACACTCCCCTTCGCTTCTGGAGTGTCGCCGCAGGTGACGTGGCCTTGTCCAGTCAGCAGCATGCAGTATTCGAACTTCTGCTTTCCGAGCTTCTTGGTCAAGTAATCGGCTGCCATCTCAGACGTGGGACAGTATGACAGATCGAGTTTCCCCTTTTCGATCTCGTCCTTCACGAAGAAATAGCGCAGGGCGATGTGTTTCGTCCTGTTTGCGAAGCCGTTTTTGTTGGCGATGCGAATTGCTGACTGGTTGTCGCAGAACACGGTGAAGCTGGGTAACTCGGCTAACTTCGCTTCTTCCAGCAGTTCGCGGAGGTAAAGTCCCTCCTTGGTGGCTGAGCAGAGTGCAATATATTCCGCTTCAGCTGAAGACAGTGCGATTAACTCCTGCTTACTCGACTGCCAGGAGATAGGACCGATAGGCTCGAGGCGGTAGACATAGCCGGTGCGTGAGCGCCTGTTATCGGTGTCGCCGGCGTGATCGGCGTCGACGTAGCCGATTAGCTTGGTCGGTGTAGTTGCTTTTTTGTGATAAGTTAATCCGATCGTCGCGGTGCTGACGAAATAGTGGAGAGCGCGATCGAGTTCCGCCAAATGCTCTGCTTCAGGCTTCTTGAGATAGGTGGCGAGCTGGCTCGCGGAGTAGGATAAGTCGGGACGGCATGTGACTGCTGCGAAGAGAAGACATCCGAGCTTCTTCTGATAGTCGCGTATGCCGGCGGGCTTGAGTAGGGTAGATCGTCCCTTTTCGGTTCCTGACGTGTAGCGGTAAGGCGTGGAGATGGCGCTTGGTGTGAGGCTGAAGCGTTTCGCGATGGTGTCGGCGTACTTCTCGGCGCTTAGATAGATTGCGTTTTCTTCCTCGCGGATGTTGAGCCCGAGGTACTGCGTAACCGTAGAAGAGACCGTGAGCGTGAGGTCTTTCTGAAGCTCCCCTTCGAACCACGTGGCGATGCCGTCGGTTGACCCAATGTAGAGGAGATCGTCCACGTAGACGATTAGGAGAACGTAGTCACTTCCCTTTGTGAGGCGATACATGCCCTGGTCATGCGGAAGTTGTTTGAAACTGATGCGAATGAGGCGGGCGTGTAGGTACTGCTGCCACAGTCGCGGTGCCTGCTTGATCCCGTAGAGCGACTTAAGCAGTTGACAGACTCGGTTGGGTTTGCCGTGGGAGCCGTGCGGGAGCTCGACGAAGATTTCTGCATCCACAGGTGCGTAGAGAAATGCGTTTGCGACGTCGATTTGTCGCAGTTTCTTTTTCTTCATGGCGGCGACGGCGATGAGGATTCGGAGTGAGGTGTGACGGCTGACCGGAGCGAAGGTTTCGGTGTAATCTCTTCCGTGCTCCTGGTCAAAGCCGCGTACGACCCAGCGAGCTTTGAATTTGTCGATGGTGCCGTCAGCTTTCGTCTTTACACGGAAGACCCACTTCCCGGTAAGGATAGTCTTGTTTTGTGCTACGCCGATGGGAACGATTTTCCAGGTGTTGCGCTCCTCCACTGCCTTCAGCTCTTTGTCCATGGCTTCACGTCATTTCTTCTTATGTTCCCCCCCCAGAGCCTGTTGAACCGTCGCAGGCTCCTTAGGAATGGCGGCGCCATGGACTGCGGTGACGAGACCAAGGATTTGCAGCCCAGTCTGTGAGTATCGAGGGAGTTCTGGATCCTCAGGATAAGCTGCTTCGTCTCCCGCTTCTGGGTCGGGTATGAAATTTGGCCCTACCCTTTCTGCTTCGTTGGTGTTGACTGTCGCAGGTGTTACGTAACCATTGTCGGCGAAATGGTAGAAGACTTCGGCGTTGTTACTGTCGCGAGGATTATCCTCATCCATGGGCACGTTGAAGGAGCAGTACGGAAGAGGTCCGGCTTCCTCCGATGCGTTGTCGACGTTCTGCTCATCCCAGTCTGCTTCATCCGCTGCTGACGCGAAGGCTCGGTCACCACGAAAGCCACTGGTGAGGTCCCGATTCTCGTACAAGTTGGCGAGGTACGTCTGAAGGGTGAGTCGTTCGTAGAAGATCACATCTCGTGCTGCTACTGTTTCTTTTGTGTGGACGTCGAAGATTCTCCACGCGTTGTAATTTTTCTCGATGCCGAGGTGTAGTCCCCACTGTGCCCGTTGCGAAAATCTTCCCGCTCGTGCTTCTGGGGGTCTGTACTGTACCATGCACCCGAAGACTCGTAACATTTTTGTGCTGCCCTGCTTCCCTGTCCACAGCAGATGCGGTGATGCGTTGTTCGGGAGTGACGACGACGACAACAAGTTGTGCAGCATGACAGCATGGTCCATTGCTGCTGGCCACTGGTGGTTGGGTAGCCGCATGCCACGTAACAGTTTGCGCATGCTGTTCTGCAGGGTCCTGTTCATTCTTTCTGCAACACCTTGCTGCTGATGTGCGTAGGGAAGGGAGAGGAGTTGCTTGATCCCCCTTTCCGCCAGGAACGGCTTGAAGCGCTGAGAGGTGTACTCGCCACCTCCGTCTGACTGGAAGCTTTTCAGTTGTGTTCCAGACTCTCTCTCTGCTATCGGTAGCCAGGCGGCGAATGCTGCGAGCGCCATGTCGCGGCTGGGTAGATTACGATGCCAGACGTATCGAGTGGCGGCGTCGATGAAGGTGATGGTGTAGTTGTAGTTGACTTGTCCTGGTTCGCGATTGTAGAGGATGTCGCTGTAAACCTTTTCAAGTGGTGCGTACGCTGGTGCGCTCGGGTTGTGATGTGGAGCGAACGGTCGATGAGGTAAGTCAGCTTCGGGGCATATAAGGCAAGTCCCTCGTGCCTTTTGGAGTTCTCTGCCGTCGGGTAGAAGTAGGGAGTCTTTGTCAAGAACTCCTGCTCTTATCGTGTTATTTAAAACCGTGTTGCTTGGATGTCCTGTGCGTGCGTGCCAGATTTCTTCAGAGGCGCGGTGTCCGGGTGAACGTTGGTATGCGTCGGAGTTGGAGTAAAAACTGGCGACGAAGTTGGCGCTTCGGTGGACTTCACGTTGAGTCGGATTCAGCTGTTGCGCGGGTGTTGGTGGTGCTTCGTCGACTGTGACTGGCGTCGTTGTTCCTGCTGCTGCTGATGTTGTCTCTGCTGCTGCCGATGTTGTTGCTGCTGCCGATGTTGTTGTTGCTGCTGCCGATGTTGTTGCTGCTGCCGATGTTGTCTCTGCTTCTGGTGTTTGTTGAATCGTTGCTAACGCTCGTGTTCGTTCTGCTTCAGGGATAGTGCGGGAGTACCAGAAACCTCCCGGGCTGAAGTCGGGGTCGAGATCCGGAGGGTGTGTCCAGTCGGTAAAGTTCACGATGGCGTCGCTGTCTGCAGTGCCCAGGTCAGGAACGAAGTCGAGGACGAAGACATTGTTCTTCAATACTGCTTTCCCGATGTAGAGACCGCCTCTCCCGTGGTATAGCTTGAACTCTTGGGTGGTGCTGTCGGCTTCCAGGTGAATCCCCTTCGCCATCAACTGGCTAACACTCAGTAAGTTGTAACCGAGTCCTTCAGCGATGAGTACCTTTGACATGTGCAGTATGACATTTGTTTCTCTTGACTGAAGCTGTACCACTCCTTGTCGTCGTGTGCGCAGGTTTTGATTGTTGGCGACCGTGATCACAACTTCTCGTTGGAGTCGGTGTTCGCGTTGTACGAAGCGACCGGACGAGCACATGTGTTGCCCGCAACAACTATCCAAGAACCAAGTGTCTTGGCCGGACGGTTCACTTTGAGCGACGGCGGCATAAGTCGGATTCGGGTGGAGTGATTCGCGGCGGGGCGTCCTGTTGTCGAGCTCCTCTTCTGGTGAGTAGTGGGGTTGTGACTCTGTTATGCAAGAATCGTTTATCTTGACCATGCAGTTGACTATGTTTCTTGCTCCTTGTGCAGGTTGTCCAGTTGAAGTCGTTGAAGCTTGAATCGTGGTTGTCGGACTTGCTTGTGTCGAAGCAACTTGGGAGCTTGAAGGCCGCAGTTGTCGCTGTGGTGTTGTCTGACGGGACGGGCAATGCGTGCGTGGATGTCCTGATGTTTTGCAGATGTGACAAAACGGAGGTACTGGCTTCGGCTGCTGCTGTCGGTTGTTGTAGTTGTTGTGTCGTTGCTGAGTATGGAAAGCGAACTCCGGTGCTAATGCCTTTTTCTTGTGCCTTTCTTCTTGCATGTCCATGTCCTGCTGCTCGGCGTGGATTTCGGCGCAAAGTGCTGCTTCAGAGATTCTTCCGTGGGCTCGAAGAATTGCTTTGGTGGCGCGCCACTGAGGACTGAGGCCACCGATGATGACTGTCACGAAGGCGTCTTCAGAGATTGATCCTCCGCATCGAAGAAGCTTGTCGCGCAATTCGCGACATCGGCTGATATACGCCAATCCCTTTTCTCCTGGTTTCATTTCAACTGTTGTCAATTGCGCCATTAACCTGCTCTGGTTTACACTGTCTGTTGCTTGATACAGGTTCTTCAGATGGCCGTACGCGAGTTCCGCCGAGTTGCCGAAGTTCCGGTAAGAGCGAATGTTCTGCTGCTGAGTTGGTGTGATGTTTCTCAGTAGAATAGTATACGCCATCATCGATTGATACGTATACTGCTGCTTCTCATACTGTGTGCCGTTTGCTGGATACTGCAGGGATCCGTCGAAGAAGCCGAGTATCTGCGCGCCCTCCATCATCAGCTCGAATTCAAAGGACCAGGTGAAGAAGTCCTTTCCGTCGAAGGGTCTTGATGTTTGCAGTTTCAGGACATGCGCGAATTGCGACTGAACTTGTAAAGCGTCCATTGGTTTGTCTTGCGCAGGTGAAGGTTGAGGCAGGAAGCTGATCGACCCGCGCTCGTACGGGGCGAAGGTGGGCTGCTGCTGTTGATTCCCTCGCGCATATGACGATCCGTCAAGGCTCATAGGTGTCGCTCCGTTGTTGCTGTTGTGTGTCTGTGCAGGTCCCGACTGCTGGTGTTGCTTGTAGAAGGACATGAAGGAGAAGAATTTCTCCATCATGCTCTGGTCGAAGTCAGAAGGATGGTTCGTGGGGGTCTCGGTTGACGTTCCCCTTGGTCTTGCTGCCGTGCCTTCCTCTGTCTGCAGGCCAGAGGCTGGCGGTGGAGTAGGAGTAGTGCCCGAGGAGCCATTAGGGGAGCTCCTTTCCTTGTTTGTTGCCATGTCTTGTAATGATCAAAAAGTTAGAGTTTTCCCCTGTCAGCTCTCATACCATGTTGGGCTGAGAAAGCCCTTAAGGATCTTTGCAGAGGGTAACTCTGGGTAGGATATTTGTAACCTCCAGGCGGTTACCCTAACCTCCGAGGTTTGACTCGATGCTTCGATTCGGACTGCTTCGCTAGTGTCTTGGGTTTTTGACACGACAGAAGCGCACTAAGACTTATTGTTTCCAACACCAAACACATGCAACATAATTCGCGAAGGCCAACCATAGAATCCAACAAGTGGATTGGCATAAGGCGAGTCATACGTGGTGAGTATACAGCTCATGAGTCACTATGTTCAGGCTGGTAAGTAGCACTTCGGTGAAGCACACATGCCGGTCTTGAACGCACAACATCGTAGTCAACCTGCGCTAGAGCTGCGAGTGGTGGGAGGAGAACTCAGCAGAGGCGAAGGGCAGCGAGGCGGGGGGAAAGGCGGAGAGCAGCAGGAAGAGGCTGTGCGCCGCATGCAGCAACGACACAAACACGGTGAAAGCACGGTGAGGTGACACGAGCGCAAGGCAATGGCTCATAGCAGCGTCAGTCAAGTGGCTGCAGGTCAGATGCACACAGCAACCACAAGGCACGGGCACGTAGCAGCGGCATGTAGCAGCACCGCGTAGCATCCGGTGACGGCTGAGGGCTCACAAGGATCACAAACCATGGATGAAGGGAATGGGGAGGGCGAGAGGACGCCTCCCATTCAGATGAGGTAACACCAGCATGGCAGCGGCACAAAGCAGCAACGCACAGCAGCTGAGGTGACCGTTGAGGGCTCACTGAGATTGCAGACCGTGGATGAATGGAGTGGGGAGAACACCACTCACGCTGCCACCGCCATGTGCATGCATGACGCCGCACAGAACCGGCATGCTCACTGCCACTTCAGCATGCAGCCAGTCGTGGTAGAACTGGTGCAGCAGCCGGTCCGCCTCCACCACCACCTGATGCGGGCGAGAGGGGGTGCAGGGGGTGCAGGGGGTGCACGGAGGGAGGCATGGGGAGGCATGGGGAGGCCGAGGGGACATAGGGGGCACAGCGGGCACAGGGTGAGGATGAACGGCAGTCAATTATGGTATCACAGGCAGCAAGCGGCCTGCTTCGTCCACCACCTGATGGGCACAGGGGTGCACATGGGGGACCAGGGGGGACCAGGGGACAGAGAAGCGCAGAGAGAATGTGAAGTCCCTGCACAGGGGGAAGCAGAGGGGAAAACAAGGAGGGAATGAGGAGAAGTGGAGGGGGGAAGGAGGAGACGCAAAGGGGGGAAGGAGGAGGGGGGAATGAGGAGAAGCGGAGGGGGGAAGGAGGAGAAGTGGAGGGAGGAAGGAGGAGAAGCGGAGGGGGGAAGGAGGAGAAGCGGAGGGGGGACGGAGGAGAAGCGGAGGGGGTATGAGGAGATCGCCTTTGGAGGGATGGCCAAGAGAGGGCAGGAAGAGGGGATGTGTGAGAGAGTTTTGTGAGAGTTCTGCCCATCTCCATTTTTTGCCGCGGCCCCATTTTGCCTTCACCCTGTGCTTCTCCACGTCTTACTCCACCGACCACTATCCCTGTGCGCGGAAGAGCAGGGGAGGAGCTTGTCAGAGGATGGGGGGAAGCAGGGCAGGGGGGGCGCGTTTACACAGGGAATGGGATGGGGGGTACGGGGGCAGATGCCGGGGAGAGAGCAGGGCGGAGGATGGTGGGGAGCAGGGCAGAGAATGGTGGGAATAGGGAGAGAGGTAAGCAGGGCAGGGGGGGGTATAAGTGGGGGATTGATGGGGATTGTTGGGTGGAAGGAAGGGAGTGAGTGGGGGGAGAGATGGGAGGGTGGCAAATGTGCGAGATGGGAAGGGAGACGGGAAGGAAGGCGAGGGCGACGAGCATTGGATGGAACGGGGAAAGCGAGGAGACGGGGAAAGCGAGGAGATGGGGAGAGAGGGAACCCTCGCCTTTGCGACGGCGGACAAGGAGACAGGTTGACGGGGAAAGCGAGGGGACAAGCGGCAGGGATTGCGACGAGCGGCAGGGAGGGCGATGAGAAGAAGGGATGGCGATGGGAAGAAGGGATGACGATGGGAAGAAGGGATGGCGATGGGAAGAAGGGATGGCGATGGGAAGAAGGGAGGGTTACGGGCGGAAGGGCGGACGACGACGGGAAAGAAGGGCGACGGCGGAAGGGAGAACGACGGGCGGAAGGGAGGGCGACGGGCGGAAGGTACAGCGAAAGGCGGAAGGGAGAGCGATGGGCGGAGGGGAGCGCTACGTGCGAATTGGCGAGCGACGGACGGACGGAAAAGCTCGCGACTCGGGCGCGCTGACGGGCGGAAGGGAGAGCTACGGGCGGATGGGAGAGCGATTATCGGATGGGAGCGCTACTACGCGACGAGGGGAGGGGAGGCGCCGGAGTACGACGGGAAGCGAGGCACAAGGGGATGCCCCACGAAACGACGGGTGGCGTGACATTGTATGGCGCGACGGTGGGAGGGGAGGCGCGACGAGGGGAGGCGCGACGAGGGGAGGAGAAGCTCGATAAAGAGAGGGGTGGCGCGACTTCTGACGCACTGAGAGGTGCGCTCCCAAAATGACTAGTTTGTACATGCGCTTGTGAAGTTCCCTAAAACCTTTCGATTTCCTACAACGATGCGCTCTCGGGATGATTCCCTATCGCGCTTACCTATCGTGGATTATTGCTCTGTCAGACATACGCATTTGATTTGACCAGCTATGGGCTTCTCACCCCAAGGAGACAGGTGTCGCACAGATGAGTGACGAATATCCCATCCGCTCGTTAGCTGATTTCGTCCTCGCTTGGTTTTTGTCTTTCGCCAAACCCGTTAAAGCCATTCGAAAATTTTCCCAAAAACCATGCTGACCTTGGGCTTTAACTTCGCCAAGCTCAATGTCTACCAATTTCTTGCCTGATGACACATTGGTCAAGACCTTTAAGTTCGGCTCGACTAGCGCTTTAAGAGGATACCATTTTTGTGTTCACACAGCGAACATCGGTGAATCTTATCTAGTCGCAGGAACTTCCAAGGGTCTGGTCTTATCAGGTCTCTTGGTATTACCTTGGTGCCTTGGTTCTGCAGAGCTTTTCACGGATTGGCTACCTGATCCTGTTCCGCCAGATTTACAGATTTCGCTGCATTATCTCTCGGGATCGTCATACATACAGGCATGGAGCTCAGCAGTGCAAGTTTCAACATCAGCAGCACAGGAAGCATTATGCTACTTAAGCTTCTGTTCAAGCCTGTTCCTCCATTATCATCATCGCACAATGGCGGGTGCTCGCGGTGGCCGTAATGGCCGTGGTGGTGGGAAGGCAGGAGGAAAGGTTATTGACACTGCTGGGAACACGCCACCGTCCAGTACGGAGCAGTCGCCAGGGAAGAGTCCTCTGGTCTCGGCGCAAGCTTCTCCGCGTGCTCCCCTCGCGTCTGCGGTCAATGATGTGCTGGGTGAGGCGGCGAAGATTTCTCTGCAAGAACGGTTGTCAGCTCTGAAAGACAATGGGCTTAAGGACAACAATGAGGGAAGTGAGACGCAGCAACCGCAACCGTCCACGTCAGCAGATCCGTCGGCTCCTGTGTCAACGGTTCCTGTGATGGTCGCGAGTTGCAACATCATGGATGAAGACGAGTGCTGGGACAGTGACGACGAAGATGTTTTCGACCCTGCTGCGGTCAGCCTGCTTGCGTCTCAAGTCAGCTTCTCGCTTACGCTTCTGATTCCCATTCAGTGGGAGAGCGAGGTCCGGAACTTGAAGCCGATGGTCATTGCGCACCTGGACCACTGGAAGGCTTCGCTGACGGCTGATGCGCAAACAACAACGACGTACCAAGAGATGCTGCCGGCGTGGCTGTCGAAGAAGAGATATGGCCGGCTCCAGGTTACATTTCAGCACGAGAGTGATGCGATTTCGGTCTGGCAACGCGTCATTGAACATGACGTGGGGAAGGGGATTACGTTAAAGCTCAACTGGCAGCACCCGGAGAACGCGACTTACAAGAAGGAGCGTCAGCAGAATCCGGATGCGGTGGAAGTACTGCTGAAGTCAGTTCCGGCCGGTGTCACCCCAGAGCTGGTCCGTAAGATGCTGACGGAGGTGGTGCTGCTCAAGAAGGGCAAACCTGCGTTCAGCAAGGGCGTGGCCTTTCACAGGGTGCAAGATCCGGTTACCGGCATTGACACGGATAAGGTCCGTGGGTTGGTGATCGAGCATGACAATGACGACGATCCATGGCGTCACATGGTTGCGGATTTGACGAACCCTGGAAGGAAGCTGATGGTTAGCTATCCTGCACTCACCTGCGGCTTTTGCAAGGGTCAGCATCAGACGCAGTACCACAATGCCTACATCACAGAGCGGCAGCACAGCATCGGCAAATGGACCTTATCGGTTGCAAAGGTTCATGCGATTAACGGTACCTCTGTCTCGTCTTTCTCGCCTTTATCGCTCCTGTCTTTCTCTACGATTTTTACTGACGCCTTGGCTCAAACCCCTCCTCGCAGCTGCCTCGATAAAAGTCACATCGCTAACAAAAGACATCCTCAAGGACCCAGCCATTGTTCTCACCTCCACAGGGGGGTCGCTGGAAGAGTGGGTGTGTGTGGTCGCCGCTTGCGAAAAGGCGCAGGGAATCAGTTTCGAGCATGCTGCGGCTCACGTCACATCGCTCCGCCACAAGACGAACCTGTCCACGCCAGGTGCCGCTACGCGCGCCAGCAAGGGTGCTCTCAACCTGGGTGCGTTCCGCAAGGAGTTCGCCAAATAACGGCCCGGTCGTCGAGCTCCTGGGAAGTTGCATCTGCTGGATGGTGGAGAGAAGGAATACGGTTGTTCAGTTTGTACCTCGGCTATGACTGTAGTATCAGCAGTAGTAGTGTTTATGTGCGGCTCTGTGCTGCGGCCGGTGACAGCGGCGAGTGTGCATCAGGAGACTTGTTTCAGTTCCCAGCCCGTGGATGCGAAGGGGCTTCTCACCTGTTTTTTAATGAATAAGAGGAACTCAATTCGGTTTTGCGAGCTCAACATCAACGGGCTCGGCAGTGCAGGGAAGCAGGAAAAGTGCAAGAACTGGCTAAGGAATAAAGCAGACATCGCGGTACTCACAGATACTCGACTTCAGGCTGATCACTATTTCTGGACTCAAATGAAGCCGGCCGCGGTGGTGGCAGTGGGACCCCCTGGCTCGGCAGGGGGTGTAGCGGTGGTGAGCCTCGTCCCTGGGATGACCTTTACAGACACATACACACATGCTTCGGGAAGATTAGTGGCGGTGGTAGTCCGGTGGGGGGATCTGGAGCTGCTCCTGGTCGCAATGTACTTGCCGGCGCAACCGGAGAACAGGGCCCCCTTCTATCGTGACTGCTTGGGGCCTTTCCTGGGCACCTTACCGACTCTGAGTAACGTCATGGTGATGGGTGACATGAACGTGGTGGAGGACCCGGCGCTTGACAAGTCGTCAGGAGTGGGGTCGTCAGCGGAAAACCGGAGGCTGTTGAGTTATTGGGCGGGCCGTCCGCTCACCGACGCATTCCGTTATCTGCACCCTGGCAAGAGGGAGTACACTTTTCACATGAAGGCAAAGGGGGTGAGCACCAGGATTGATCGTGCGCTGGTGTCTCAACCGCTGCTGTGTAAGCTGGTGGATGTCCGGCACGCGGATATCACAAACAAGATGACGGATCACTGGAGTGCGGTGGTGGTTGCGCTGGAATCGTCAGCGGCGATTGAGAAAGGTCCTGGGATCTGGCGATTAAGAGCGGTTCAGGCAAAGAAGAGGGGGGTAAGAAGACGTGTGGAAAAGGTGATCATGGACGCGGGAGGTGACCTCGGTGGAATGTTACCAAGGCTGTCGGCGTGCCTGCGTGCATATACGAAGGAGGAAAGAAAGAGAATCGGGGCGACTATGAAACATCTGGAGAAGGAGGTGAGGGTCTTCCGCCAGCGCTTGTCGCAGAACCCGCAATGTCAGCGGACGGGTGCAATTCTGCTCAAAAAAGAGGAGCTGCTCAACGCGTATGAGAAAAGTCATCAAGAGAAGCTGCAGGAGTGGTTAGGGCTGAAGGCGGAGCTTGACGGGGAAGCGACAACGGGTTTCCTGTCTGGAAAGATTAAAGAGCGGAAGGCGAGAACGGAAGTGAAATCGGTCTGTTACAACGGCACTACCCACTCTGGAGCGAGGGAAGTGCTGACGGCGGCGACGGAGTACTTCAGGAACTCGTTCGGTGGGGGCGATACGGACTCTCACGGGACGGAGCCGCAGGTTATGGACCGGGTGCTATGCGATGCAAGCCGCCGCGCCCTTGGAGCGCCATGGTCGGAGGAGGAAGTCCGGGCAGCGGTGCGTGAGCTGGCTCCGGGGAAGTCGCCGGGACAAGATGGGCTCCCCAAGGAGCTGTTCGAACACAACTGGGATTTGCTCGGGCCGGTGCTGATGCAGTTCATAGAAAGCTTCACGCGAACGGCAAAGCTACCACGAGAGGTCTCAACTGCGGTCACGATCCTGTTGCACAAAAAGGGGAGCAAAGAGGAGTTAGGGAACTACAGGCCCATTACTCTGCTTAGCACAGTTTACAAGGTGCTGGCGAAGGTGCTGGCCTCAAGGCTTAAAAAGGTGCTGCACGAGGTGATCTCGGAAGATCAAGCGGGCTTCCTACCTGGTCGGAGACTGGCGGATGCAGTTGCTGTGGTCGCGGACGCTATTGAGGCAGGCGCAAGCGATGAGAAGGACTGGTACCTTCTGATGGTCGACTTTCAGAATGCGTTCGACTCCATCTCAAGGGCCTTCCTTTTCCGCACGCTGAGAGGGATGGGGGTCCCGGAGCGGTTTGTGTCTTGGGCGGAGGGCCTGCACACAGGAGCAGGAACAAGGTTACACATCAATGGTTGGACGGGAGAAAGGGTTGCGGTGGAAAAAGGGGTGCGTCAAGGCTGCCCGCTAGCACCGTACCTCTTCTTGTGCGCGGTGGAGCCGCTCTGTCAAGACATTGCGAGACGCCGGCTGGGAGTAGGCGAAGAAGGCGCGGTGAAGCTAGCTTACCTGGGTTATGCCGACGACACGTCGCTGGTGCTACAGGGAGAAGAGCAGCTGGTTGCAGCGGCTGATGTGCTGGAAAAATTCGGGAAAGCGTCAGGGCTGAAAGTAAACAAGGACAAGACGGTGGTCTTCCCACTCGGGAGGAATAGGGGGAAGTCCCCGCCGTCAGACCTGCAGTTTAAGTGGGCGGATACGGCAGTACCGGAGAGGCTGCTCGGCGTCTGGATCACCCCGAACGGTGACCCGCTTCCGTCCTGGGAGAAGGCTTTGGACAGGGCAAGGAAGGAGTTAGCCAAATGGGAAATTCAACATTTAACGACATCGGCAAGGGTCACGATTATCAACGGATACATAACGCCTATCTTCATGTTCCAGGCATACATTTACCCGCCGCCAGAGGAAATATGGACGAAGGTCAAGCGGATCTGTCACCACTTCGTGTCGGGAGGTGAAGCGACGGAGGAAAAGGCCTTTGTCCTCTGGAACTACGAGCTGGTCTGCACGCCTCGTGAAGAGGGAGGGTTGGGGATGATCTGCCCCAAGAAGCGGTTCGACAGCATAGCGGTGCAGAATGTTGGCCGCATGATGCTGCAGACAAACCCCGTTAAGAAATGGCTGACGGAAAGAGCGGCGGCGATGCCTCTGGGCCCGGACACAATCTATGCCCACCAGTCCCTGCAGAAGCACTGGGAAGAGGGAAGCAAGCGCTGGAAGGACATGACACTGGCCTTCTGGAAATCACCTTTCTGCGTCACCCCGGAGCCAAGTAACCGCTGGGAAGCGGAGCGGGAGCAGCTGGCTTTTAACAGACGGATACCTTTCAGGGGGGCCAGCCCGTTCGGAAACCAACAAGGCTCGGCGAAGCTACTGGGCGTAACTCTAGGCGACCTGGTCTGGCGTCGGGCGGATGGATCACGGGAGCTGAAATGTGTGGAAACTCTGACGAGTGAGCTCGGCAGCGTTGATACGGCGAAGTTGGCGCTGAAAGCTTTCATGGCGGCGCCTGCTGGATGGAGAGACATGATACTGGCGACGTTGACAAGCGAGGAGCTCGTGGCTAAAGTCCCACTACTGCGATATCAGGGGTGTATCTCTGCGGCCCCGTCGCTTTGGAAAGTTAGCGGCGCTGTCAGCGGCAGAGTGACGGGTGTGGCGTGCCGGGAAAGCAAGGACGGTACTTTCACGGTCGGGGACGGGAAGTATCCTGTAAATTTCGGGCTGCACAGCGGGGAGCCGGTAGCAGCACAGGGTGATAAGGTACTGGGGCTCATGGGGGAGGCACGAACGAAGCTCCTACAGTCCAAGCTAACCAAGGATGGAGGGATTCTGGCACTAAAGGAGATCAGGAAGGAGCTGGTAACCTCAGCAGGCATCGTAAAGGAGCAGCGGAGGTGGATTGGTGATGGGAGGATTATTGAATGGGAGAGGGTCATCAAGCAGAGGGACTCTCTTGCCACCCCTGCTCGGGCAAGAGAAATCTTGCTAAGGTTGCACTGCAGGAATTTACAAGTGGGAGAACGGCTCTTCTTCATGAATGACAAAGTGGTCTGCCCACACTGCAAAGCAGAGGAGACACCGGAGCATTGCCTGCTCGGCTGCCCGGCGATTCAGAGGATAGTCCGCTTTCTGAAGAAGGGACTGGCTGAGATGAACCCGCAGCTGAGTTGGCAGGGTTTGGAGGACCTCCTCTTCATGCAGAGGAGCACGAAGTCTGGCTTTCCGGAAAGTTCTTTCATCGCCACCATACTTCACCAGACTTGGCTGGCAAGGTGTGACGCAAGCCGCTGTGGTGTTGCACTACAGCCCAAGAAAGTGATACGCCTGGCAGTGGTGAAGTTTGTCGCACACGCCAGGGTGTACTGCCTGGCAAGGCAAATGGCAGCGCGGAAGCATGGGGTGGTGGTTGGCGCCGATAACTGGGACTACCTGGCAACAGATGAGGCGGCGGTGATGAGGCGAATATGCAGCAAAGGGGCACCACTGACGTGGAGGAACAATTTCAGCTCCATCTGGAACGATCCGAAGATGACTAACCGGCCACCGTAGACCTGATATAGGGAACCCACGGTACATGCTATTGTGGCTCTTCCCTCCAGACACAGTTACGACTGCCTGATGCGTTTTGTACATTATCCTTTTAGTGTACTTTTCCGTATCAAAAAAAAAAAAAAAAAAAAAAAAAAAAAGGAGATGGGTGAAGGGATGGGTAGGGGATGGGTGAGGGGATGGGTGAAGGGATGGGTAAGAAATGGGTAAGCGATAGGTGAAGGATGGGTAAGGGATGTGTAAGGGGATGGATGAAGAGATGGGTGAAGGGATGTGTAAGGGGATGCTTAAGGTTGTGGGTGAGGGGATGGGTAAGGGGATGGGTGACGGGATGGGTGACAGGATGGGTAAGGAGGGACAATGGGGGAGAGTGATGGCTGCACTCTGCAAACCTGGAGGTTGATCAGATAAAGGGGGAGCAGTGGGAAAGAGCAGTAAGACAGCCCGAGAGGGTCTAGAGGGCAACGTCAGTGAGGGTGGTGAGCGATAGGAAGGCAGGCGGGGGATGTGTCAATGTAAGAGTGAATTTGTTCTGAGACTTGGTGAGTGGGTGCGGAGGGGTTGGCAGAGGGAGGGCCCGGCAGGACAGGCAGGAGGGGCCAGAGGGAAAGGCGAGTGAGGTGGGTGTGAGAAAGGTGCGTGAGTGGTGGGAAGGGAGCGGGAGACGGAGACAGATATCTGACTAACTTTGGTCTGCCTCATCCTGCTTTGCCCCCTTGACTAACACAGCCGTAGGGGATTCAACCTTGAACCACACTGCTCCTGGTACTACAAATGATGTGGCAGATTCTCCAGGTGTTGCGGACGATTCTCCAGCTAGACATACCACAAGAACCTCTTGCGGAGTGAGCAGGATCATGACTGATAAGCCCTCACTCACAGGTGATCCGTGAGAGGCACTTTCAGTCTCCCAAGGACCAACCGCCGCAAGCTCCCATGAATAATGTTCCAGCTTGTCACCGCCAAAACAAAACACTCTCAGCACATCTGAATTACCCGAGAGTGACCCGAGAGTGACCTGAGAGGGACCCGAGAGGGACCCGAGAGGGACCCGAGAGTGACCCGAGAGCGACCCGAGAGTGACCCGAGAGTGACCGGAGAGTGACCCGAGAGTGACCCGAGAGTGACCCGAGAGTGACCCGAGAGTGACCCGAGAGTGACCCGAGAGTGACCCGAGAGTGACCCGAGAGCCACGGAGGACCCAGCCACCTGGCCCAGCTCAACGTTCCCTGCTAGTGAGCGATAACATAAGTGGCCCACTACCACCCATGCTGCCACACACCTCCTTCTCCCTACGCTCGTCCTGGAAGAAGATCACAGAAATGGGGCACCCAGCAGCCTTCAACCGCTCCCGCACCTGCAGGATGCCCGTAAGTAGTGCACCCGCGCCCGCACCGTAGCGGCACGGACAGGGAGTTGGTGTGGAGGAGGGCACGGAGAGGAGCAGTGCAGTGATGAGAGGGATGCGAGGTGGAGCGAAGTGGTGCAGAATGGGTGTTGCAGCCTTGAGCAGCCCCCAGTGCCTTGAGCAGCCCCCAGTGCCTTGAGCAGCCCCCAGTGCCTTGAGCAGCCCCCAGTGCCTTGAGCAGCCCCCAGTGCCTTGAGCAGCCCCCAGTGCCTTGAGCAGCCCCCAGTGCCTTGAGCAGACCCCAGTGCCTTGAGCAGCCCCAGTGCCTTGAGCAGCCCCCAGTGCCTTGAGCAGCCCCCAGTGCCTTGAGCAGCCCCCAGTGCCTTGAGCAGCCCCCAGTGCCTTGAGCAGCCCCCAGTGCCTTGAGCAGCCCCCAGTGCCTTGAGCAGCCCCCAGTGCCTTGAGCAGCCCCCAGTGCCTTGAGCAGACCCCAGTGCCTTGAGCAGCCCCCAGTGCCTTGAGCAGCCCCCAGTGCCTTGAGCAGCCCCCAGTGCCTTGAGCAGCCCCCAGTGCCTTGAGCAGCCCCCAGTGCCTTGAGCAGCCCCCAGTGCCTTGAGCAGCCCCCAGTGCCTTGAGCAGCCCCCAGTGCCTTGAGCAGCCCCCAGTGCCTTGAGCAGCCCCCAGTGCCTTGAGCAGCCCCCAGTGCCTTGAGCAGCCCCCAGTGCCTTGAGCAGCCCCCAGTGCCTTGAGCAGCCCCCAGTGCCTTGAGCAGCCCCCAGTGCCTTGAGCAGCCCCCAGTGCCTTGAGCAGCCCCCAGTGCCTTGAGCAGCCCCCAGTGCCTTGAGCAGCCCCCAGTGCCTTGAGCAGCCCCCAGTGCCTTGAGCAGCCCCCAGTGCCTTGAGCAGCCCCCAGTGCCTTGAGCAGCCCCCAGTGCCTTGAGCAGCCCCAGTGCCTTGAGCAGCCCCCAGTGCCTTGAGCAGCCCCCAGTGCCTTGAGCAGCCCCCAGTGCCTTGAGCAGCCCCCAGTGCCTTGAGCAGCCCCCAGTGCCTTGAGCAGCCCCCAGTGCCTTGAGCAGCCCCCAGTGCCTTGAGCAGCCCCAGTGCCTTGAGCAGCCCCCAGTGCCTTGAGCAGCCCCCAGTGCCTTGAGCAGCCCCCAGTGCCTTGAGCAGCCCCCAGTGCCTTGAGCAGCCCCCAGTGCCTTGAGCAGCCCCCAGTGCCTTGAGCAGCCCCCAGTGCCTTGAGCAGCCCCCAGTGCCTTGAGCAGCCCCAGTGCCTTGAGCAGCCCCCAGTGCCTTGAGCAGCCCCCAGTGCCTTGAGCAGCCCCCAGTGCCTTGAGCAGCCCCCAGTGCCTTGAGCAGCCCCCAGTGCCTTGAGCAGCCCCCAGTGCCTTGAGCAGCCCCCAGTGCCTTGAGCAGCCCCCAGTGCCTTGAGCAGCCCCCAGTGCCTTGAGCAGCCCCCAGTGCCTTGAGCAGCCCCCAGTGCCTTGAGCAGCCCCCAGTGCCTTGAGCAGCCCCCAGTGCCTTGAGCAGCCCCCAGTGCCTTGAGCAGCCCCCAGTGCCTTGAGCAGACCCCAGTGCCTTGAGCAGCCCCCAGTGCCTTGAGCAGCCCCCAGTGCCTTGAGCAGCCCCCAGTGCCTTGAGCAGCCCCCAGTGCCTTGAGCAGCCCCCAGTGCCTTGAGCAGCCCCCAGTGCCTTGAGCAGCCCCCAGTGCCTTGAGCAGCCCCCAGTGCCTTGAGCAGCCCCCAGTGCCTTGAGCAGCCCCCAGTGCCTTGAGCAGCCCCCAGTGCCTTGAGCAGCCCCCAGTGCCTTGAGCAGCCCCCAGTGCCTTGAGCAGCCCCCAGTGCCTTGAGCAGCCCCCAGTGCCTTGAGCAGCCCCCAGTGCCTTGAGCAGCCCCCAGTGCCTTGAGCAGCCCCCAGTGCCTTGAGCAGCCCCCAGTGCCTTGAGCAGCCCCCAGTGCCTTGAGCAGCCCCCAGTGCCTTGAGCAGCCCCCAGTGCCTTGAGCAGCCCCCAGTGCCTTGAGCAGCCCCCAGTGCCTTGAGCAGCCCCCAGTGCCTTGAGCAGCCCCCAGTGCCTTGAGCAGCCCCCAGTGCCTTGAGCAGCCCCCAGTGCCTTGAGCAGCCCCCAGTGCCTTGAGCAGCCCCCAGTGCCTTGAGCAGCCCCCAGTGCCTTGAGCAGCCCCCAGTGCCTTGAGCAGCCCCCAGTGCCTTGAGCAGCCCCCAGTGCCTTGAGCAGCCCCCAGTGCCTTGAGCAGCCCCCAGTGCCTTGAGCAGCCCCCAGTGCCTTGAGCAGCCCCCAGTGCCTTGAGCAGCCCCCAGTGCCTTGAGCAGCCCCCAGTGCCTTGAGCAGCCCCCAGTGCCTTGAGCAGCCCCCAGTGCCTTGAGCAGCCCCCAGTGCCTTGAGCAGCCCCCAGTGCCTTGAGCAGCCCCCAGTGCCTTGAGCAGCCCCCAGTGCCTTGAGCAGCCCCCAGTGCCTTGAGCAGCCCCCAGTGCCTTGAGCAGCCCCCAGTGCCTTGAGCAGCCCCCAGTGCCTTGAGCAGCCCCCAGTGCCTTGAGCAGCCCCCAGTGCCTTGAGCAGCCCCCAGTGCCTTGAGCAGCCCCAGTGCCTTGAGCAGCCCCCAGTGCCTTGAGCAGCCCCCAGTGCCTTGAGCAGCCCCCAGTGCCTTGAGCAGCCCCCAGTGCCTTGAGCAGCCCCCAGTGCCTTGAGCAGCCCCCAGTGCCTTGAGCAGCCCCCAGTGCCTTGAGCAGCCCCCAGTGCCTTGAGCAGCCCCCAGTGCCTTGAGCAGCCCCCAGTGCCTTGAGCAGCCCCCAGTGCCTTGAGCAGCCCCCAGTGCCTTGAGCAGCCCCCAGTGCCTTGAGCAGCCCCCAGTGCCTTGAGCAGCCCCCAGTGCCTTGAGCAGCCCCCAGTGCCTTGAGCAGCCCCCAGTGCCTTGAGCAGCCCCCAGTGCCTTGAGCAGCCCCCAGTGCCTTGAGCAGCCCCCAGTGCCTTGAGCAGCCCCCAGTGCCTTGAGCAGCCCCCAGTGCCTTGAGCAGCCCCCAGTGCCTTGAGCAGCCCCCAGTGCCTTGAGCAGCCCCCAGTGCCTTGAGCAGCCCCCAGTGCCTTGAGCAGCCCCCAGTGCCTTGAGCAGCCCCCAGTGCCTTGAGCAGCCCCCAGTGCCTTGAGCAGCCCCCAGTGCCTTGAGCAGCCCCCAGTGCCTTGAGCAGCCCCCAGTGCCTTGAGCAGCCCCCAGTGCCTTGAGCAGCCCCCAGTGCCTTGAGCAGCCCCCAGTGCCTTGAGCAGCCCCCACCTTGAGCAGCCCCCAGTGCCTTGAGCAGCCCCCAGTGCCTTGAGCAGCCCCCAGTGCCTTGAGCAGCCCCCAGTGCCTTGAGCAGCCCCCAGTGCCTTGAGCAGCCCCCAGTGCCTTGAGCAGCCCCCAGTGCCTTGAGCAGCCCCCAGTGCCTTGAGCAGCCCCCAGTGCCTTGAGCAGCCCCCAGTGCCTTGAGCAGCCCCCAGTGCCTTGAGCAGCCCCCAGTGCCTTGAGCAGCCCCCAGTGCCTTGAGCAGCCCCCAGTGCCTTGAGCAGCCCCAGTGCTGAGCAGCCCCCAGTGCCTTGAGCAGCCCCCAGTGCCTTGAGCAGCCCCCAGTGCCTTGAGCAGCCCCCAGTGCCTTGAGCAGCCCCCAGTGCCTTGAGCAGCCCCCAGTGCCTTGAGCAGCCCCCAGTGCCTTGAGCAGCCCCCAGTGCCTTGAGCAGCCCCCAGTGCCTTGAGCAGCCCCCAGTGCCTTGAGCAGCCCCCAGTGCCTTGAGCAGCCCCCAGTGCCTTGAGCAGCCCCCAGTGCCTTGAGCAGCCCCCAGTGCCTTGAGCAGCCCCCAGTGCCTTGAGCAGCCCCCAGTGCCTTGAGCAGCCCCCAGTGCCTTGAGCAGCCCCCAGTGCCTTGAGCAGCCCCCAGTGCCTTGAGCAGCCCCCAGTGCCTTGAGCAGCCCCCAGTGCCTTGAGCAGCCCCCAGTGCCTTGAGCAGCCCCCAGTGCCTTGAGCAGCCCCCAGTGCCTTGAGCAGCCCCCAGTGCCTTGAGCAGCCCCCAGTGCCTTGAGCAGCCCCCAGTGCCTTGAGCAGCCCCCAGTGCCTTGAGCAGCCCCCAGTGCCTTGAGCAGCCCCCAGTGCCTTGAGCAGCCCCCAGTGCCTTGAGCAGCCCCCAGTGCCTTGAGCAGCCCCCAGTGCCTTGAGCAGCCCCCAGTGCCTTGAGCAGCCCCCAGTGCCTTGAGCAGCCCCCAGTGCCTTGAGCAGCCCCCAGTGCCTTGAGCAGCCCCCAGTGCCTTGAGCAGCCCCCAGTGCCTTGAGCAGCCCCCAGTGCCTTGAGCAGCCCCCAGTGCCTTGAGCAGCCCCCAGTGCCTTGAGCAGCCCCCAGTGCCTTGAGCAGCCCCCAGTGCCTTGAGCAGCCCCCAGTGCCTTGAGCAGCCCCCAGTGCCTTGAGCAGCCCCCAGTGCCTTGAGCAGCCCCCAGTGCCTTGAGCAGCCCCCAGTGCCTTGAGCAGCCCCCAGTGCCTTGAGCAGCCCCCAGTGCCTTGAGCAGCCCCCAGTGCCTTGAGCAGCCCCCAGTGCCTTGAGCAGCCTGCGGGTTGCCAGTGAACAGAGCGCCTGTGCGGCACGGATCCATGGGGCACAATTCGGTGTGGGAGAAGCAGGTGCGGAGGGGATGCGGAGGGTGAGTGGGTACTCATCCAGGAGAATTCATGAAGGATACTGACCTGATACTGACCGGGCACTGCTTGTAACCTAAGAACAGCCCCCGTTCCAACCACACAACATCGTCCTTCAAGAGGACAACTGCCGGCACCCAGCAGCCTCACTACTACTGACCTGCTGGTGACACACAATAGACCCAAGTCCCTCTCACACACCCACCTCCACTGCTCGTCCCTGAGGAAGGACACGGCCACAGGGCACCCAGCAACCCCACCCAGCCTCGCCTCACCCACCAGGCACTCATGAGCATCAAGCACACCACTATCCCTCCTGCTGCTCGTCCGCCCTCAAGAACGGGCCACAACGATCCAGCCCCCCCAGCCCCCAACCAGCCTCGTCCACCCCACCCAGCCCCACCCAGCCCCGCCCAGCCCCACCCAGCCCCGCCCAGCCCCTCGACCAGCACCACAGCAATCACCTAAAAGGTTCTCCGTTGCTCGTCCGCCCTAAGAAACCGCCATGGCGCACCCAGCAGCCCTGCCTCGCCCCGCTTCGCCTGCAGCCTCTCCCGCACTTCCACGTCAGCATATTGTACCTTGCTGCTGTAGAGGTTTGAGAAAGTGCACCCGCGCAATAGGGGTGGAAGTCGGTGGAGCACTAGTTAGTGAGGCAGAAGCAGGTGCCGAGCTGAACGGCGGAGCGGAGGGAGGGGGGGGGGGTGGAAGGGTGGGGGTGGAGGGGGAGGGGCAAGGGGAGAGGGGAGAAATGGTAAAGAGCACAGTTCCTTATGAGAGGGATGTGGGAGATGGTGTCGTAGAGACGGAAGTCGGTTTCGGAGAAGCAGGTGCCGAGTGGAGCAGGTGGGGGGAGAGGGGGAGGGGGAAGAGAAGAGGGTAACGGGTAGTGAAGGAAAGGTGCCTTGCAGCCTTGGCAAGGAGTCACTGAGCAGCAGCCCCCTTCCGCCCAGTCCCACAACCATCCCACAGCTACTCCTCACCTCACCGACTCCTCAGAGACTCCCACCCTAGCAACATCCAACTAGTCAACTGATCCTTTCCACTGTTGACCACGGAAATTCCCCTCGAGTGACTCCAGAGACTACTACACGCATCTCCCACCAATTACTCATGAGCATCAAGCAGCCCACTACCACTCACTCACTCACCTATGCACCTCCTCCCCCCTGCTCGTCCATCCGCAAACACCGCCACGGTGCACCCAGCAGGGGAGAGTCCAGCAGCTCCGCCACCCCCAGCTTCGCCTGCAGAGCCTCTCGCTCCTCCGCCACCGCAGCAGCCTCTGCCTCGGCGAATAGTGGGCCCGGGCCGTAAAGGTGGGAGTCTGTGGGGCACAAGTTGATTTTTGACAAGCAGGTGCCAAGGTGAGGGGGGGTGGGGAGGGAGGAGGAGAAGCGGGAGGGGGAGGTGGCAAGGCGAGAGGGGTTTATGAGAGGGATATGGGAGACAGTGTCCTTGGGGAGCAAAGACGGTGGGCCAGAAGTCAGTGTGGGAGAACGGGGTACGGAACGGAGCTGGTGGTACGAGGGAGGTGGAGGGTAATGGGTGGTGAAGGGAAGGTGTGTGGTGTGTTGCAACCTCGACAAGGAATTCACAGTACAAAAGCTCCCAGTGATGCCAATCTAGGCACCGATGCAGGACTTGGGAACTGAGCGCAGCCTCAGGGACCTGCAGGCTCCCCCGTGAACAGTGCGCCCATGATGCAGGGGGGCGGGAACCCCAGGGGCAGAAATCGGTGCAGGAGAAGCAGGTGCGGTGCGGAGCTGGTGGGGAGACGGGGGAACAGGGAAAAGGGAGGTGGAAATTGGAGAGGAGGGACAGTGCGTGGGTTAAACAGGAAGGGGCAGAACAAGGAGGGGAGTGCTGCGTTGATGGGAGAGAGGGATGCAGGGAGGAGGGATGTGGGAAACAGTACTGTACGGGTGCGAGCCTGTGAGTTGAGTGGGAGAAGAAGGTTTAAAGATATGCGGGAGATGACACTCAGGCAGCCGAGCATCAAGCGTCTTGGCGCTTGGAATGCCCTTTAACGACGTTTATCTCCGGGCTGACTGCAAATAATATTGTCCACAAATTTGTGTCTGCAATTTCTATGCTAATCGCAATTCTTTGAGATGAAGAAACGTTTGTACAAACTCAACCCAACCAGCTTATACACCCCAACCAGTGCAGCATCACCTCAATTCCACCCACCAATTTCAACGTCTCTTCACCAACACGCTGACTCTCAGAGACTCCCAGCATTGCCATATCCAGCTATTGAAGTTTTTTTTTTTTTTAAGCACTTCGACTGAATCCTACACGCATCTCCCCCGCCCCCTACCGACTATCACATTGCCAATATCCAGCTCGTTATCTACCCCCTGCCACCCATCAGTAACACCCAACGAATCCTCTATAGCCTCCGCCCGTGCCAGCTGCACATCCCCCCTCCCCCCTCTTCTCACCTCCTTCACCCCCCTTCAATTCCTACCCTCTCCACTGCTCCCTCAAGTGATTCTCCCACACGCCTTTACCCCACAGAGTCCCCTCACCGGCTCTCACCTTGCCAGAATCCAGCTTGCCGGCCGTAACCCCTCCCTTTTGAGTCGACTCAAGAATCCAGCTTGCCGGCCGTAACCCCTCCCTCCCTTCCCCCCTTCGCTCATCGTCAGCAGCACCAAACGCGTCCCCCATGGCCTCCGCCAGCCCCATCAGCAGCCCCCCACATTTCCAATCGCTCTATTCGTTCGCTCGTGATGCACCACAGAGGATCAACAGACCCACGGGATGCTGCCAGTCCAGCCATGGCCGTGGGAACCTACATGTACGCGAAGAGAATCAACAGGGAACTCGAATCTGCAAGCAAGACGGAAACGTCCTTCTGCAACACGCAACAGCGATCATCAAGAGAAGGCCTGCTCCCGATGACGTTCGGTTGCTGAGAGAAATGCATGCGGGAATTTTATCGGTGAAACTGGGGATCCCCGTTCACCGGAATTGATCCCAGCCGCAGGAAGGTGGATGGATTGTGACTCAAGGTGGCAGCAGCAGTGCTGACGCAAGGCCCCGTCCAGGACGAGAAGCTGAAAGAAACCGCGACGGCTGAGGCGTGTGAGAAGAAACGGGGAATCGCCAGCGTGCGACTCTGTTGCTGCCTGCGAAAAGCTGTGCGCGGCTTGTCGCATCGCTGCGGCAAAAGAAGCGCCTCAAGGTATCGCTCGCTCGCGAACCTTTCCCCGATCGCTCGACATGTTCAAGCTGCTCGAGGATAATCGCCCCACGGAAGCGCTTCCGTGCCCGCTACGGAGTGTAACTGACGCACTGCTAGTAAAAAAGACGATACTAGATGACGACATGTGTCTTTCCGACAATGTAAAACAACTATCACCGTATCCCTCTCGCAATTGGTTTACGCTTGGATTCACTGACGCCGTCACGGGTTTCTGCTGCGCTGAGGTTTGAAATATGGGAATATGTGTAGGATCGCAGATTCGCAGTCACTCTGAGAATATGGGAATTTGAGATCGCAGTACCTGAATTGCCTTATTAGTAAAACGAAGTGCAACGTGCGGCGTTAATCATCCACGAACAACGGCGATGTTCCCCCAGAGGGTTATTAGAAACAAAATTCGTCACCGAGACACGAATCTCCCGCCGATGCACTGGTTACCTGAAATCGAGTACCAGCGAACCCTTCGTGGAGCCATTTGAAACCCTCTGGAATGTCCATCCTGAACTTCCTCGCCATGGGTTTCTCCTAAATGCCGCTGCATTCCTGTCACCGCAAGCCTGTCGCGGGTTTCTGAAGGTTTCAAACACGCCCTCAATCCATTTGAACCATCCCCCACCTCCATCCTTGCCTTCCAAATTCCAATACCTCTCAGGGTGCATTCCTGGCTTCGGGTCTTCCCGTGTTTGGGTCTTCCGAACATTTGGGACCACTGAAAGTTTCCGAGTCGGATAACCCAAAGTCTAAGCGCAAATCGCGCGCCCAGCCAAAATTTAATTCGGATGACCCGAAGTGCTGATGACCCGAAGTGCAGGAATGCACCCTCACACCGTTCCTGACGGAAACCTAATTTTGAGGGAGGGAGTGCAAGGTAGCCGATCTCTTTTCTTTTTTTATCGTGACGCCTTTAGGCCAAGTTCTCCAGTGCATGCTACACCTAGCACGATCCATAGTCCCTAGTTTCTCAAGTTCCCGATATGGATTCTCGCACGATTCATAGTCTAACTGATGAAATCCTCGTTACAATCCTTAAGCACTCCTTAGAGCAACCGGCTTTAGACAAATCTCACTTGGAGAGCTCGACCACCTATGTTTGGCCAGCAGTCACGCCGGTACCAGCCCCGCCGTTGGTCGCAGACGTGGCTCGAAATCTCCTCATCGCGTCTGTCTGTCGTCGTTGGCGCCGTTTAACGAAGCTGCACGTTGAGACGATCTCCGTTAAAGAAGACCTCGTGGTGTCTCTTGAAGATCTTTCAGTCGCCGTCGCGTGTTTCCCCAACCTCACCCATCTGCATCTCAGCGACAACAGCATCGAGTCGGTCGACGACGCCTTCCTCGCTCACCTCGCTGCCTCATGCCCGAAGCTGACTCGCTTCCATGTGGGAAGGAGCTTTGGAAGGGTAATGGCCATCGACGTTGACAGCTGGGTTGAGCATTATCGCAGAAAGGGGCATCCATTAACTACAGAATGCCTAGATCATTTCTTTCAAAAGCTTCCACATCTGGAGCAGCTTACCCTCTTCTGCCTCCACCAAGAAATGCAGCTGCCGAATTCTCTCTTTCAGTTGACGCGTCTGCACACCTTTCTCCTCACCAACGCTTTGGCATTGGATAATCCCGGTTTCACCAGCCTCACTGCACTTACCACCCTGTACGTCAGCTGCCCCATGAACCATCGGCACCTATCCACCCTCCTTTGCCTTCCACGACTCCACAATCTCTCCACATTGGTCCCACATGACAACCATCTGCCAGCGGGTGCTGCAAGCATCACTCTGCCATCTTGCTTGAAATCGCTCAATCTCTTGATCTCTTGTCCCAATTTCGCCACCATCTTTCCATCTGCATCGCCGTTTATCGGGCTAGAAGAGCTACTGATCACAAATTCCAGTGGGTTGGAGAGCCTTCCTGACCGCATAGGAAACTTGCTACCGTTCCTTAACAAGCTGACCATTCGCAGGTGCCATGATTTTGCTCGACTGCCAGAAAGTTTTACGTCGCTGAGGTGTTTAAAAACCCTCGTGGTTTCTGGTTGTAACAGATTTACCTTACCCAGCAACTTCGGTCACCTGCCTGCCCTCAAAGTGCTGGTGCTAGAGTCTTTGTGTTTCACCGAACTCCCACATTCTTTCTGTCATCTCACGTGTCTCAAGGCATTTTCTCTTGATGATTGTGTCTTCCGTCGGAAGCTGCCAGCAGGGTTCTGCCACCTCACGGCTCTCAAGGAACTCAGCATGTCAGTCTTGAATGTCACCTTGCCAGAGGATGTTGGGGCTCTTGCAAGTCTCAAGGTTCTCAAGTGTTTTAACAGCCAACACCGCCCCCTCCCTGCTTCCTTCACCCACCTGTCTTCCTTGACTTGCCTGGAGCTGATTTCATGCCTCCAATTCAAGCTTCCTGAAGCCTTGGGAGAGCTGAGTAGTCTACAGGAGCTGAAGCTTTATGGCCTTTTAGTCAGCACCCTTCCAATCTCGCTCACACTGCTGACAAGACTTCAGACCTTGGAGATCAGTCACTGCTTGTCACTCGAAGAAATACCCTTTCAGCTGGATACGTTTGTGGGGCTCAAGAGGTTGGAGGTGACGGATTGTGAGGAGCTGAGTACACCCCCAGAAGGTTTCCCACCCTCGCTTAAGGTCCTCTGTCTGGGCCGCTTCAGGGAGAATTCGTTTCATGAGGTGGACATTTCCAAGCTGTCGCAACTGAGGGTGCTGAAGCTGGACCACGTCAGGGTGCGATGCGGGCCTGCAATGAGCAGCAGGTTTTCCTGTTTGGAGAAGCTGGAGATGTGTTTGGAAGATGAAAATCCGGAGCTCCCAGCTCCTCTGACCTTGTCCCCACGCCTCCACAGCTTGCAGATAAAGGCGCCGGAAGCCTGCAGGATCCCAGATAACTTGTTGGCTGCATTGACACAGCTGCGGCGGCTGAAATTTCGTTTTTGGTCACCAACAAAGCTTCCAGGAAGCATAGTGGAGCTCACCTCACTGACTTCTTTGAAGATTTGCGCATTTGAGCTGACATCACTACCTCAAGGCATGAGCCGCTTGGTTCGGCTGCGCAGGCTGGAGCTGACCCGCTGCCACGCCTTGCAGCACCTCCCGGAGTTTCTCACCCAGCTGCACCGGTTGATGCTGCATGATACCTCCATCTCTTCCCTTCCTGCAAATCTCGTGCAACTGACTGAGGAGCGTTGACTCTGCTGGCTGCCTTGGGCTAGCTTGCTGCTGGCTGAGGTGGGTGCACTTGACTCCGTTGAATGCATTGCAATATCATAGGCACCTCTAGTGCTGAGGTAGATGCCCTGGCTGGTCATTGCTAAGCAGCTGTGCAGTGTGCTTTCATTGTGCTTGCAATGCATCTGTGCTGGCAGATTCTGGACGGAAAAGGTGTCTTCGAAGTTGGTGAAGCTGGTACAACCAGGGCCCTTGCTAGGTTTTGGGCCTGTCTGAGAGTATAACTGGAAAAAGAAAAAAAAAACTGACGCCAAGATGACCAAGTTTCTGTTGTCTTACAACAAAGACGAAAAAGTATTCACAGTCTGATCCATCAGACGAAAAAAAAAAAGCCCCGTCTGAACCTATTACAAAGTAATGATTTGGGGTTTAGCCCCAACTATCTATCAATATGTTAAGCAGTTAACATCCTAAACAACTACCAACCTAGTCAGAGTCACTACCAGCGCCGTCATAGTCATCATCAGTCTCAGCCTTGCTTTCCGCAAAAGGGTCAGGAGCTTTTCCCCTTTCCTTCCGACTGAGCCAGGGATATTCTGCATCTAGCCTTGCGGCTTCAGCTACTAGGGCTGCTTCTCGGGCTGCAGCTTCTGCTGCTGCCAATGATGCGGCTGCTGCTGCTGCTGAGGCAAATCTTTTCTTCGCGCGCTTGCTTACTCTCTCCCCGGAAGCCATCAACACATCCTTGGCAGGCCAGCGTTTCTTCGAACCGTTAAACCGCCTCAGTAACTCGGGCCACTCCATGTCATAGCTGAGAAGCGAGACGGTCATCAGCTCCCCTAGCTTCGCGTCACACAGGTTCCCGCGGAGCCAGCTCTTCATCACATTCTGCCGTGAAAAGCCGCGCTCGCACTCAACCGTGCTGAGCGGAAGAACAGCGACGGCGATCCACAAGTGCACGAGATCTGGGTAGCAGGTGGTCCAGTCGGGAGAGGACAGCATGAGCTTCAGGCTGTCCGCGAAGCCCACATCCTCCTGGTGTGTGGACATGATCGTCGAGAACGTGACGATCTCCCGCTGTGCTCGCGCCCAGTTGATGCCTGTGGGGTGTGGTTCGCAATGGGAAGTGCAACAGAAATAAGTCAACATGGTTACACATGTAATGCTTTAATATGGTCGAGTATTGATCACATAGGCATGAAATGTCGATACTGTTACGTACCGGGTAGGGTGTCAGGGTCTTCAGGCTTCTACTTAAACATGTTGCGCAGAGACTGCAGCCACTGCCCAAGTTTCCTCTCGCGCTTCGC